ATAGAGTCAGTTTAATGTAATTCAATTCAAAAATTAGTATGAGGAGCTCTATGGAGCAGTGGCTAGCGCTATCCGTCTGTGATACGGTTATGCAACATTCGCAATGACCAGTCATAGGATGGGTAACCAAAATTTATTTTCTCGAATTCCTCCGTGCTTCAGAAGGCATTTTTAGCTGTTAGTCCCGGCATTTGCAGTCGTCAATATCCATCAACCAAAGGCTCGCGTGGTAGGTCATGGCCCGTTGTCCTTATTCATCTCCCTCATTCCCCAATTGTTACTTTATAATATTATCGGGCAGAAAATTCAAGTTTTTAAAGTTTAAGTTACCAAGTAGCTCGATGGCAAAGTGGATAAGCGCCGTGACCCGCGATCGTTGTTGTTAAATGACTTTTACAAAGGTCAGTCACGGGATGGGTTACCAAAAAATTATCACCTCGAGTTACTCTTTGCTCGAGGCACGTAAATCCGTTGGTCCTGGCTGCATTTGCGGTCGTTAATACCCTCCAACTAGCATGACACATTCTCCTTCACCATCCCTCACAAGGAAGGCCTGAGCCCCTGCAGTGGCGATGTTAAAAGGCTGATGAAAATGAAGGTTTAAGTTGCTAAATACTCCTTTCATGTATTACGTACCTACAAGTACCTACATCTTTATTCCCAAATTCAATAGTTGAAGCTGTGCGTTGATAAAAAATCAGTTATGTTTTTATATCATTTATATAAAAAAAACTGATTGTTTGATAATTCATACTGTCGGTATAGTTGAACGGAAAAAAAGATTAAACTTTAGACTCGAGAAAAATACAGTTATCCAAATCTCTAAGCCCAAATTCCCGAACGTTTTGATTAATACCACTAGATGTATTTAAATTCATGTAGAAAGTAACTTTTAGTTACTTATTCAGGATGTAACATCAAGATAAGTGTAAATTACGTGTAATGCAAACATTGTCATCTGTAGGTAAATCACGACCTAAACGGTATCTTTTGTTGTTATTTCAGTATCTTTCTCTATTATTTAGGTGGCGGAGTTTTGTATGGACTCCACGACTACTTTAATACTTTTAAGTGTATTTTGCGCTTTCATTATAAAACTTTTTTTGACAATGTTCATTGACAAAGAAATCTGTTGATAACTGTAAGTATGAGTCTGTGAGTATGAGTTATAAAGAGACACGCTTAAAATATGTTTGTTAAATGCTATATATTTGACAGGAAAGTAACCAAAGAAGGTGGATATCTATCAAATAATTTAACTGTAAAAAGTTTCTGATATCGTCTTATTCGAGTTTTAGAGAAAATTAAAGATGAGTTTGTATAACATAACATTGTTTCTTCTTGAACTTATGTGGTTATCATGTGTAATATTACTTACACGATAAGTAGTTGTTAAAGCGGTCCCACATGATAAGCATATCCAACTATTTCGTAACCAAACAAGTGATCTGTAATAGAACAGGTTAGATGACTAACTTTATGTTAAATAGGTAATACAAGATGTAACAAACATGACTGGTTGATCACTGTGTGACATATTCGATGAATGTTAACATTGATGTGTAAGATAAAGAGTGACATGATAGACAATAAATAGAAGGAATTAGGGTATTTTACAAACTTTTATTTAACTTACCTAGTTAGTATAAGTACAGTACAGTACCTTGTTTGTATAAGTACAGTACGTTACCTTGTGAGTGTAAGTACAGTATAGTACTCACTGGTGCACAAATGCTGGAACTCAAGTTTGGCCTATTTCCCAATGTCCGATAGATTTGAAATTTTGCATAGACATGTAAGTCAGGGAACAATAGAAAATAATTGCTGATATGAAGATGAAGTCTAAAGGTGATCATACTAACTTAGTGACGAAATAACGCAATTGCATGGTATTTGGGCTCGTTAGTAAAAAATATGTGTATTTTCTCGTCTCCGATTTCATTAGCAATCAATCAATTAATTTAATTACGTTTTAGTGCACACAAATAAAAGCTTGTTTTTAAAAACTTTTTTATTATATTTGATCAATTTTGCATTCACAATGCCATTCCATCTCAGTATCTACCAAGGACAACGTGGATTTTATAAGCATTTTTCACTAAGTAACTTTTTTATTGTATTTTTATAGGACGAAATCTAAACAATTTCTCTTGAAATGCAATATATCATAAATTGCGTCTTGTGCTGTTTTAATTTTTTTACATAAACATAAACTTAACTTCTTTTAACTAAATGCAATAATATACGGTACATTATTTTTTACTTTTTTCTGTCTTTATATCTGTATAATCTATGAAAAGGCTGAACCGATTTTTACGGAACTTTCACTGGCAGATACCTTATGTAATAAGGAGTACCTTAAGCTTCTTCCCACGCGGATGAAGTCATGGCCACAGCTAGTACTAAATGATATAATATACTTATGGTTAATAGATGAACTGGAGTGGTTATTTTTTTAAATAAAGTTAAAGTTTAAAGCCTCAAAACTCAGTTACAATAATCGTTAGACGTATGTGGAGTGCGGGTAATTTCTGTGACTCATTTTCATTACATTCCATCGGTCGGTCATTGTTTTCTCGACTAATAAGATGAACCCGCGGAGAGTCTTTTATCGATCAAGTAGAGCGTTTACCAAATATCGATAACTATAAATAAGGTAATATAGTGAACAGCTGCACATCATGTTATATAAAATAAACAAAATTTCAATCAACTTAAACCCTAATGCATTGTAGTTAGAATACAAAATTTAATGCGGATATTTGACATATTGTAATAACATCTACAGCCGTGTCTATAAAGAAATATGCATAAGCTGTAATTGAAATTAAGAAAAAATAAGCATATATAAATAATCTTATCATGCATTTAGACGTAAATTTTGTAATTGTAAATATTATTTAAGCATTCATTTGACGAGAAGTTGTATGCTTATTCTTCGTCCTAATTACAAGTGATTTCATAGAAATTGCCTCTATAGTCCATTTAACTGGCTGTCCACTTCATAATATTTAAAGTTAATTGTTACTAGTATTTAGTTATTTTACAAGTATAGGTGTCTCGTACGTTCGTAGAGGAATATCGTAACAAAAGTAAAAGTTAGCTATACAATGGCCGACATTCAGTCGTGATGTTGCCTCATTCACGCTGGAGACTGCACACGACACAGCCACTACTACGGGAACGCTGACATATAAAGTTAATAATTTATATCGAGAATGTATTAAATACGATTTTTCATCACGTTTTGTTTTAAAGATTGGTTAATTTGTTAGTATAGATTACAGAAAAAATATTAATCTATAAATGGTCCAATAATTTTATCATCACCTGTTATTGTCCACACTGCTGGGGCTCAAGCCTTTCCTTTTACAGCAAACGGCTTTTACGGCATCGAATCAAATCGAATAGGGACGATGGGCCAAAATAACCCACCACGCAGCCCACTTCTGTTCAAAACGCGAATAATTGACACGTTTTCTGCTGCTCAACTGTGTGCTAGAAATCCCGATTGATGTGTCAAAATGAAGCTTTAACTGGTCTTTAAGGCTAGCAGTTGAACCGTCAGCGACAAATCACAGCTGTTTTGTCTAATCATTAGTTCAGGGTTTTATTTGACAGATCAATCAGGATTCAGTTACGGGGTGATGCCGCTCTACGGCGTTTATTTTAGACAAGGAGGTTTTTACATAATAATCTCAAGTTTAATTACTTACATTTTAAAGGTCACCTAATAACATTTCTAATGGATAAAAGTATTGTTATATATAAACATTTTGTAATAATTAAAGTACGATCGTTTCGATTACCTTTAGTAGGGGAGTGATAACTATGTGTTGATTAAATGGCGACGACTCGTGGTTCAACGTCTTTAGTCGTTACGTCTCGGTGGTTCCAGTTGTGTAATCTGTAAATCTGCAGTTAATATTCTATCCCGTGTTTACGGAAACATCTCGTTAGTTTCGAGAAAGTCTTTGCAGTTTAGTCCGACTTCCATGGCGGTTCATGCGCTGTTTATAAATGTCGCCATCTCAGGGTTCAATCGCCAATAACCCGAACGTAAAAATAAAAATCCTCCATGCTCTTTTATTTTGAAATCAATACAAACAGATTTTTCTTTAGCTTACAACAATACATCATTGATGATTACATCACTGATTACAACAATACATCATTGATGTCCCCTTTTAAGCATTTACTTTAGAGATAAACAGGCAGACAGGCAATCGATTGATCCTCATTAAGTTCAATCAATTCAATTCAATAATACAGCAAAATCAAACCAAATAGTGCATAAAATTTTGATTTTAAAAAGAAACGGGTTATAATATGTTATATTAATATAGATATGGATATAGTTGCTCGAAATGACAAAAGGTCATGAGTTCGAATCCCATCTCAGAAAGTCAAAGACGAAGTTGATGTTTTAAGCATTTTTCATATTTTCAAGTGTCTATTTACCTATGATTGTTAACTTTTAGAACATGTATTTATATTGCAGTTATATCGAAGTAATAGTAAAACCTAAAAAAAATCACTTAAAGTTAATAAAAAAGTGCAGATGCTGAAATACTTAATAGCAATAGTTCGAATTGTGTGTTCGTATAAAATATTGACCTATAATTTTCATATTTGGTTTTATATGCCAATGTAACAATTTCGATTTTTTTATAGTAAAAAAAAATATCAAGTTTCTATCTGGTTGTCGAAAGAAACAATCATTAGCGTAATTGGCGCCCAGCGACCTCTTGGGTAACGTTACGGCTCATGAGGTATATTACATGCGTGTGCGCAGCCATTATATCGAAAGTGTAACCGTGTTAATTGGGTCATTTTGACAACCCTCACGCACATTTTGATTTTCGAAAAAATATTGGTTCCCTTCACAATCCTTATAAAAATTGTTTTCTCAACGAATATGATGTCAGTCTTATAAAATACATCATTGTTTATAAAATAAATAAATTGTGAATAACGGAAAATCTTTTTCTCATTTACAGCGCACGCTGGCATTTTACTCGAGCACGCGCCGCAATGCCCAGAACAGCATGGAGTTCAGGTAATATGCCTTACATTTTGTTATCGTTACAAATTTTGTTATTGACAGCCTATTGGTATAATGTAGTGATACATAGGAAAGCTACTTTGTACGACAATTTGTTGCCTAGAATTATCAAAAAGATGTATATTGTCCTTTGTATATTGTTTTCAGCCGTGTTATTCTGTATTATATATATAAACTTTCCTATTGAATCATTCTGTAGTATTTGACTCCGCGTTAAAATTAAATGTGTAGTTTAAAAATTCGCAGCATTGAAACAGCAGAAATCATCTTTGCACTATGTATAGATTTGCTTTACACACAAAGTCTAATTATACATCGAAGTCCTGAACTATCTTTAATTGTAAATAACACGGTATTGATTAACGATCTCTGTGCGTGGCAGAGTGGCTCGCATAGTGGGACCACGTTTAACTCCCGGTTCGATCAATGTATAAAATAAACTTTACTATTGTTTCAGAATCTAGCCTTGTGTTCCTTTTCTTATTTCAGATTTCAATGATACAAGTGCTTTAGAGTACAATATAATACTTTTTATTGTGCACAAACATAAAACAACTTCAATTGTAGAAGATTTAAAAATCGCAACCTAGAGATGGAATTGAATTTAAAATGAACTAATAATAATAGCTTCAGCTACTCAACTAAGCATCAGAGAAATATATGTGATGTTGTCTAATATTTATTTGTTCTAAATTAAAAATTTATTTATTTTACTTCAGGCGTACGCACACCCTGAGTTATGTGACCAGTTCTTTCTATGCACCAACGGAACATTGACAGTGGAGACCTGTGAAAATGGCCTGCTGTTCGACGGCAAGGGCGCCGTACACAACCACTGCAACTATAACTGGGCCGTCGACTGCGGAGAGAGGAAGGCTGACCGTAAGTCACAGCCATGGCTCTTTCTCATAATAATAATATAAATGTTTATTCATCACACAATAGAGTTATTACTAAAAAATAATCTTAAGGTTATTTTTAGTAATCAAGAGATAAAGGGAGAAGCATAATAACGATTTGGCAGTAAATCTCTTATCTCTTTCTAATCATCAACAGAATTATGGTTACATACTTCCAAATCCACAGCATTCATGACGTATCATGGCAACTAATGAATACTAAAATTTTACGAATATATTTTGATTTATCTTTTCTTCGATATCTTAAATCCTATGATGTCAAGAAAAATAGTAGACTCGTGATCGTAAATTTTTCTCCATTTAAATATTTATTACAATAAATCAAATCGTTTTTGGAAAACTATCTGTTTTTCACGATCGAATCAATCGCGTATTTTTAGAAGGTGATATCAGAAGCCGTAAAAACTGGAATATGTATAAAGACTAATAAAAGTGGATGAGGCGAAAGGACCGTAAGGACCATACATTGTGGCGTTAGGTCCTCTCTGTCTACCACGCCAGGAATACGACGTGAATATATAGATCTTTTTTTATACACCAAAGGTAAAGCGAAATAAATAATGTTAAAATGCATTTACTAATTTCAGTCACTCCAATATCGACTCCTGGATGTGAGTACCAGTTCGGCATCTATCCAGACAGCGCAGAGTGCTCTACTAGCTATATAAAATGCGCCTTCGGAATCCCAGAGCAAGAGCCGTGCACACCAGGCTTGGTATATGACGAGCGTACCCACGGCTGTAATTGGCCCGATCTTCTCCAACCTTTCTGCAATCCTGAAGGTATCTATCACATCAAAAAAAGGAATTCTAGCTAGTCCATCAGGCAGATAATAGAAAAACAATAGATTAGTAATTTTTATGGTTCAGTTTAACAAGAAATATCTTAGATACATTGAAGAAAAGGAGTTTCTTCTGGTAAGCATAAATATATAAAAAAAAATGTATTCAGTATTTTTCAATCAACCTGACGGACAGACAGACAAAACTTATGCCCCACCCCTCCCCCGAGCCTAAACAGTAGTAACAGCAAAATTTGCGTTATGAGTTTTTCATATCGTCTGAGAGCCCAATTCAAACCCTTCAAGCCTAATTTATTGATTCTTTTTTCTACGACCAGTAATAGTTTTTCAAATGAATTTTGTTAATTTATCAGAAAATACGCTAATATTTAATCTACTTACTATATTTTAGTTACTTAATATAATATAATTAGTTACTTAATACCAAAACTGTTGAATATGAATTACAGCTCACTTTACTGATTTTAAATAGTTTAAAAACATTTTTTTTAAATAGAGGTTAAAAAATGGTAATGGTTATAATTAATTTATTTGCGAATTATTTTAATATTTTCAAACCTTGCTTTCAAAATTTGATCATAAACGGTAATTTATCAAAGATTTTAATTTCACGTGCGTCCTTCACGGTTTCCTGTTTTTGATATTACTGCAGTTTAGGGTCGGGACAGCAGAACTGATTATCAGCCCCATTGTTAATCCATTGCTAACATACTCAGCTTTTACTCATAAAGTTTCTATAGCTACTCTTTCTTTAAATAAAGTAATGTATATAAGAATCTTACACGTAGAAATTAGGATCTTACTTCAAATAAAAAATGTTCGATGAATATAACACGAAGAGTCTGATATGTTCGAGGATTTACGTCTAGTAAAAAGTAGTTTAGTTGGATAGAGTGCACATCACAATCCTTCATTATTAACTTTGCGGTCACATTTAACATGATTATTTTGTTTAACAGCTGTTGTAGGCTTCAAATGCCCTACCAAGGTGCCATCCAACACACAAGCAGCCAAATTCTGGCCATTCCCCCGATTCCCCGTGCCCGGAGATTGCCACAGGCTGATCACTTGCGTAGAAGGCCACCCTCGTCTCATCACCTGCGAAGAGGGCAAAGTGTTCGACGACCAGAACCTCACCTGCGAAGATCCTGAATTAGTACCCCACTGCGGCCACTGATTGAAATAAGACAAGATTTTATAAACAAAAGGGAGGCGAAACTATGAAAAACTTGAATTGGTATCTTATATTCTACTATGAGTATAATACATATCACTTTTACTTGTTATTAAAATAAAACAATCATTTGTCTCTCTAACAAATTCAATAGCAAGCGCAAAAGGTTTTATGAAACTGTAGTTCTCTTATTGATTTTAAACCTAAATCTTTATTAGTTAGAGTTCAAAATCAATTAGGGAAATTTGTTATTTTGTATGTACATACATAGCATCAGTATCGTAAGACAAAAACGAAAAGTACTATGGAATCCTCAACTTACGCTACCAATTTATTTGCCTATTTGTCACTGCCACTAGAATTTGAGACTTTTTGATCTTTTTATATACTTCTTATTCAGTCTCTGTTTTTGGAAAAAAGAAAATTCATTATTTCGCGAAAAAATAAGCAATAATTATGATTTCACTGCGTTTTCGTTTTGTGATACTATAATTTGAAAACCAACTTTATGATATTTAAATAACATCTGGATAAATTCCACCGAAAATCTATTTATTACTAACTTGTTATTCTCCAGCTAATTTCAACAAAACTCTGTTACCAAATGTAGTTGATTCGAGCGTGATATTAGTTACCGTAGAAATACACAAATATAATATATATGTATGTTATTGTTACAAGATATAAAAAATATAATGTAAGTATATTTTATTTCATGACTTTGTAAATATTGCAAAATATGTGTGTGTAAATAGGAATTTATGTGTGAAAAATAAATTTTCTAAATATAATAAACTTTTTTTTTTCAATGTACACTACATCACTACACTACATTCAATGTACCTTATTAATATAAAATTTACCAATTAATATTATGACATTCTCTATACAATTATTAAAAATAGGTATATAGAACTGAAATAATAATACAAAAAGTTTTAAGAAACATTTATAATTTGATAGTTTGCAAGTTTACCTTTCAACGTCAAACATCTTTCACACCCTATAAAATAACTATACTGTGTCATAACAACTTCTGAAGTTAGTATATAATATAATTAGTATGTGATCTCTTAAAGAAAACATCGGTATGATACTTAGTATTTATTTATCTAACTTATTAAATGTCTATTCTTCTGTGCTGCTCTCTAGTGCCTTGCTCTTGCCGGGACGTTGTGTGTTGCGTTGCGACGGCTGGGAACTAGATGACATAGATTTCAAAGTCGCTAGGTTCTCCAAGTCGTCTAACTGTTCATCGGTTAACTGTCCTTTATACCAGTCCGCACTGACAAAAATATTAACAAAATAGTTTAAATAATATAGGATTATGTTATATTAAATTATAATAATTTTAGTAAAACTATAAGTTAATGATGCTTATGCCATCTTAACGGCAGCAATATCTGTTATTACTGGATTTTAATTACTACCTCGTTTATTATATTTGATCAACTTCGTATTCAAAATGCTATACTAAAAATTTTCTTTAAAAAAATCCCATATCAGGGTGCCAAGGACCAAGTGGATTTTTAAGCATTTTTCATTGAGAATATTTTTGAGTATATTATTGTCAATGCGAAATTGATCAAATAGAAATAATTAGAACATAATTTTCATCTTTATCGAAAGTTTAAATATTTGTAAAAATATTTCTTTCGGCTGTTTAGGTAGATTATCTAAACATTGATGAGCATACGCTCTGTATTTGTGAAAAAGTAACAAGTGCTTGAAGGATTCAGCAGTCCTGTTAGGTCCTGGGTAGCTCAGTGGTTGAACAGTCGCCGGATTGCGAAAGGAAATGGGTTCAAATCCCTTCTCAGGGTGCCAGGGGCCAAGTGGATTTTTAAGCATGTTTTATTAAGAACACTCACACCACCTCATTTGTAAATTTCTCGTCGATTATCATTCGCAGAGTTATTGTTCTTAATCCTGAACTCAAAACCTACCACAATACTTTGGTACATAAAATACAAAATGAAAAGATGGCATTTCCAACACACATGAAGAATTATCAACTGACTTATAATTTTCTTTCCTGATCATAAATATTGGATATGACAATGCTCAGATCCCTGGTTAAGTCGCTGAAGTTCTTGTTTTATGGAAATTGGAAACAACGAAATTACCGTAACCACTTCCAACCTAAGATGTACCATTGAAAGAGAGCGCGAGTGTCCAATTATTTTAATCATAAATTGAATCCCAAACGTCATATATTACAACACCTTATGAACACTCGGTCGGGAAGACCGTGACATTATCCATATACAGAGGATTTAATTATTAGTGTGCACATATATACTAACCAATCAGGAACATTTCGCACCCACTCGCATCTCTTGTTGACGTCATCAAACGCCTGTCCCAATTTGCAGCCCGAGCGGCGTGGCTTGTTACCATTGATGCAGTAATAGAAGTATTGACAGTCGTCAGGGTCAGCATACCGGGGGTGGGTCAGGCCGAAAGTTTCATTTACAGGTGGACATTCGAACCGTAACATGCCTGTAGAAGAATAGATATCAAGTGAAGATTTTGATGATATAAATTGTTATAAAATGACATTTGAATAATTCCAATTTTAATGAGTACTAACATGGCCATTTAGTGCTCTCTATCTAAAGTCTATTAACTTACAAGAGTAATGCTTTTTAATCTCGAAAAAAAAGCCGTCTCAGTACCTGGCTAGATTTGTATTGAAGACCCTTCACTATATGGGGTATACAGAAGGAAGCCTTTTCCGCAACTACAACCCATAACATAAACCATGGTGGTCTATCTGTCTACCTACAATGACTGACTCTACAAAATTTCAATTGTGTTTCAATTACGGTTAATTGTATTATAGTTACTTTCTGTGTTCGTATTTTATTTAAGAAGATAAGAATTGCACAATTAAGAAATTAAGCGCCATTTACATTATTCATGTTCGATAGTAAATATTACTTATTTATACTACCTTATATTATAAAAAGGCAAAGGCAATGTTTCTAACTTTGTTTGTTTGTAAGGATAATCTGCAGAAATACTGATTTGATCGTGAAAATTCTTCCATTTACATAAAGTTTTACGGGTTCTTGTAATAATTAGTTGTTAACAACTAATAGTTAAGTTCTTTTTGAAAAAAAAAATTATCACTTTTTCTACATTCATTATTTTACAATGTTAAACATTGTAAAATAATGAATGTAGAAAAAGTGATAATTTTTTTTTATATTTCTGCATTTATAGCCTGATATTTCTGCATTTCACTTTTACGCTTATTTTGGAAAACTGGATTTTTAAATCCTTATTTATAGTCTATATATATTATCTAGGCATATTTTATATGTGGTTACATAGATGTTCAAACCATATCCAATAACACAATTAGCTAGAACCATATACATCAGTCTAAGGGTTTATATGGTAACTTGTATTTAAAGTGCAATTTATTTACTTGACATCTTAATTGTGCACATATATGATCTTTGTGTAGTTCCAAGATAACATTTAGACCAATGTTTTTCTACTTATGTTTTTCTACAAATTCCAGGTTTAGGTAAACAATTTTATTATTTGAGAATTTATACTTGAGATGTTACTTTTTAGAGGACCAACCGCATAATATTTCCACTGCTCGGGCGCGGGTCTTCCTTGTATATAGATGGAAATATGATAGCATAACCTATCATGAAAATCCAACGTGTATTAGTAGGTATTAACGATTGCAGATGTAAAACATGAAGATTAGGATCAAATACATCTTACGGAGAAAAAAACAACGGTATGGTACTTAGAATTTATTCGTCTAACTAGATAAATGCCTATTCTTCTGGGCTGCTTTCTACTGCCTTGCCTTTACCAGGACGTTGTGGCTTGCGGCGCGACGGCTGGGAATTGGAAGGCTTGGGTTTCACAGTCGGTGGATTCTCCAACGCGTCTAACTGTGCATCAGTCAACTGTCCTTTGTACCAGTCCGCACTGAAAAAACAAAACAGAAAACATTACATACACTGCTTCGATTCCAAGTAGTTATAGCTCAAGTGTTATGATTTAAACAACGAAGGCATCACAACCACTAACAAAACAAAGTAGAAAAACCATTCTCTACACATATTGACTTGTCCGTGATCGAATCCAAGGTATCAGATATGGCAACACATTGAAACCGGTCGACAAAATACCCGGATATAGAATTAGTTTATTATTTTAAGTTACATTTACTTACCATTCAGGAACTTTACGTGCCCACTCGCATTTCTTGTTGACGTCATCGAATGCCTGACCCAATTTGCAGCCAGAGCGGCGTGGGGTGTTACCGTTGATGCAGACATAAAAGAATTGGCAATCTTCAGGGTCAGCATACCGGGGGTGAGTCAAACCGAAAGTCTCATTCACAGCCGGGCAGTCGAAATGGAACACGTCTGTAGACAAAGAAATGAAGATTTTGGCAAAATAATTTTAATTCAACGACTCCTCTATAAGTTCTAATATAATTACTACTATCAATCTTTAGTAAGTATTGACTACAGTTTAATGAAACAGAAGGAGATTCAAAATAATGATCAGATCCTAGTCTATTCAGACTGGAAATATTCGGTGTTTGTGCACAATAGAAAATGTCAAATTCAGACATTGAACTATTTTGATCGGATAATAATGATTTAAACCTGATACTAAAGATAGCACTGGTGTTATAAAATATATGGATTGATACCCAGGCATGCTACTGTACGTGAATAGAAGCGCCTCAGTCGTGTAACTAGCGAATTTAGTGCTACAATAAACAGCTATAATCAACAAGAATAAAAGAACTTATTCATACCTGCTGCGCCGCAACCCTTCTTCTTAGCCTCATCAGGCCAGGTGCAGATACCGGTCTTATCGTTGTATACGAGACCGTCAGGACAAGTGATCATATTGAACTTGCCGTCCACGCAGAAGTAGAACTTGCCACATTCCTTAGGGTCTTCGTGGGAGAAGTAACCGTGGAGTCGAGGACAGTGCAGTGTCGGCTGAGGTGTTTCTGTAAATTTCAGTCATATTTAATAGTCAAATGATAAATGATTTACTGGTAAAATATAAATAAAACGTGTTATTTAAATTTGACGATAAAACGCTGGGTTGGAGACGTGGCGTATAAGTGTACTTTAACCTTTCCTTCGCATTAGCAAAGGTTAGCCTATTACCAAAATTTCATTAAATTATATTAAATATAATAAATTATATTTTTACATTATTCCAATTTATGACACGCCATTATGACTTTAATTTTGACACTTGTCGTTAGTAGAATTAAAACACAGGTTAGTATTTATGTTTAATCGACATACAAGTTCAAAACTTGTTCTGAACAAAGTCTTACATACTATGCCAACTTGCTAATGTCAACGTGAAACTAATAACATAGATAAGATGTTCTTGCAACTTATAGGTTTTATTTTGCCCTTTAGAAAAGGTATTTCTTGTGCAAACACTTACAAATACACATATGCAAATGTTCGAAACACATAAAAAACAAATACAAGGAATTAATTAGTTCACATTGAAACCCAGTTAGTGAGTATTGATGAATGCACACACAGCCGGAATATAATGTAATAAAATATGCCATTGTACACTGGAGTTCGAAATAATAAATTTTTAGTCATTAATTTTCAACCGGTATTCGTGGATATATTAAATTAAATGTTTAAAATATTTCTCGAAGGAGGTAATTAACACCTTGTGATACCTATGTATCTATTTGTATCTATCGCACTATGCGATAGATACAAAATATTTTACATCTAAAATAATCTACAACTTATGCCGAAATTATTTTGCATATTGGTTTTACTTAACTCCATTATCGAGTCCAGAAGTAATATAATCAAGTAGTTCTCTCATGTTTGTTAACATACATGGTGCTAAAAGATTACAATAAAAACTATTTTCAGTCATCAGCTATTTTTATGATCTTCATTTAATGAAAGATTCCCAAGCACTAACATTTCTTCATCAATTACCCCTGAATGAACTTGTCTTGACCATTTATGGTAATATACAGCTCACGTTAAATATACTTCCCGTTCACAACAGTTCAATAATGTACGATAAAATTAACAGCGTATAGTCAACCAAGGCCATTCTTCCCTTGAAAATGGAAAGTTGTTCCGAACTGTTATGACTATCGCATCTAGTGTATATTGCACCGATGTGGGAGATTTGCATTATATATAATCTACATTGTCTAATAAGCGCCATTCAAATTAAATCGTATTCTAAGCAATTCGTTTTAAAGCACCAAAATGATTTTCTTAAAATGTATTTATAAAAAAATATTATGAAACTAATTAACTAGGTACGCCTAAATTACTAAATAAATAAATTACTTAGATATGATATTTATTACCATAAAAATAAGATTTTTACTGCCATAAAATAATGTCAATTTGAATAAGTTAATAATATAACAAACGAATTTGAACCTACTTAATCAAAAGTCTATAAATTAATGAAATCTATCTTGAAAATTATAATTATTGAATTTTTTAAGCAATATTTAGTATGATTCGAGTGCATCTATTATATGAATCAATCTGAATTCTCATTCTAGGAATTCGAAGAAGGGTCCGAACACTAATTAATTGAAGACTTTAAAAGATTTATGTATAGACACTTACGCAACTTAGGCCTCTGCGAGCAATCAATGTTGTAGGGGAGATCGCATTTTTCCTCCTCTGGACTGTAGTCATTGAACACCATGCCATCAGGACAAAGCTTCTCGATAATTTCACCATTTCTGAAGTGAAAGAGAAAAATGTATTATTTAAACAAGAGGTTTATTCACCTGCAATTTACAATCTCAAAAGTTGCCTACGTGTCCTTAGATAATCGTTTCGTGGGATATAAAGTCTACATGTTACTTTAAGCTTAAAATTATCAGTATCTAAATTTCAACAAAATCCATTCAGCAATTTTGGCATGAAAGAGTAATAAATATATATTAGTAGTTCTCTAATATTGTTTTACGTGTATAAAATCACAACGCAAAGCATGAATGTTAAAGTGATTTCGTTGATGAAATCTATTACTTTTAATCGGCATTTAACAATGCTAAATTAATAAAATTCGAGTGTTGCAAATACTAATTGCATATAGATAGCATAACATTAATATGTTCATATTATATTTAATTTAAATGTTCTCTTTTGTTTGATACAAGAGTGTTAATTTTATTTTCAATGACGGCATATGTGTTTTACTCGAAAACAGTTTTAATGGCAATGGACGGTTAAGAATTTTTACTCAAACAAGAGAACCGAAGAAAACAAATAAATTACGACTCCGAAAACCGGTATAATAAATAGCATTTACATTCATCTTAAGTTTGCTTGACAGTGCACAAGAAGTATTTGCTTAAATAATGTATTCGTGATATTGTGAGTATTGACTTTGAATAAATTATATCAGGCAGTGAAAACTGTACATCTTTTATTATTACGAATTTAAAAATAGTAACTTTTATTATTTTTAAACAATTTTACATTCACAATGCTATACTGAAATATATTCTTAATGAAAAAAAAGCTTAAATGAGACTTGAACCCATGACCTTTCGCAATCCGGGCTCTAACCACTGGGCTACCCAGGATCTAGCAGAACTGACGGATTTTTTATAAGATCTAGTTACTTTTTCGTTACTACAGAGCGTATTTTCATAAATGTTCAGGTAGTCCACCCAAACAGCCGCAAGAAATATTTAAACTTTCGATAAAGATAAAAATTTGACTTATTTTGTATATTTGATCAGTTTCGCATTCACAATGCTATACTGAAAAATATTATTAATGAAAAATGTTTAAGAAATCCACTTTGTCTATGTCTCCTTTAGTTACATCTCATTTTTACATTTTACATTAAGAATAAAATTCTTATTTTATAAAAAACAAACTCAAGATTAAATCATTATAGTCCAGCAACAAATCCAATAGAAGTAATTTTAAACAATAATATTTCTTATCACTGTTCTTTTGTTAAAAAAGTCCGTTATTAAATTGTACAAAAGTTATGGTAAAATAGCATTTCATGCTCTAGGGGAATATTTTTTTAATTTATGTCTGTGAACATGAAGCCTATATAATAGTCTTAATTCATAAGTAAAATGTTTATGAGTAAAAACTTCTAACTGATTCATAAAAAAATAAATTTTGTTTTTCAAATTGCAACTAAAAGCGGCGAGGTCATTATTCAGCAGAATGCGTACATACATTATTTTGGGCCACACTAACAAAAAATGTCATTAATTACGATATTTCTTCCTAGTGTGACTCTGCCATAAATAAGAAAAAAGTGTTACTGTGAAACTTTTATAATATTGGTCTAATTACAAATTAAATTTGTTACCGTGATATACTATTTTATTTGTAACAACCGACCTGAAATGTAATGTGTAAGTAACTCGACGCTGAAAAAGTCATTATAACTAAAACTTTCTATTACTCGCTTTCGCTAAAGCCACCTTGTATACAATGGGTCGTTTCAGTATAACAATATAATATTTCGGTTTGATTGACTATTTAATTATAAAAAAATCTAACAACTATTATTGAACTATTATGTAGTCGTTTGTTTGGACCACGTTACATATTTAAAAAATAGATTACGATATATATCTCATCAACAACCTATTAATATCCCACTGCAAGGTTCAAGCCTTTCAAAGCACGGAGGAGATCGAGATACTAAATCTTTGATCACCCATTCCAAAAAGTTGCTTTACAACTTGTATAGCAGACCGAGCGCGCTAACCACTGTGCCATAGAGCTCCTACTTACGTCTTACTTCGTACATCGCTTTTACAGTATGCCTCCAGCATAGTAAGGGTTACCTGCATTCATAGTATTTGTCACATTGTTCAGCGTCAGCAAAGAACCCGTCATCTGGACATGAATTTGTGATTTCAGCATCTCGGTCTACGTCAGCAGCGGGCGCGCGCGGTGGAGGGTTTGCGGGTTTCTTACGTGGATTCTTTGGTACCGCTGATGAGGCTAAAACTGGAAACAAAGAAAATCATATTCAATACATAACTATTAATTATACTTCATTATACTATTTTTACAAATATTTTAAACTTTCCATAAAGTTGAAAATTTGTTCTAATTTATTACACAATGCTATACTGAATAATATTTATAATGAAATACGCTTAAAAAATCCACTTTGCCCCTGAAACGTCAGGGCTCGAGTCCCATCTCAGAGTGCCAGGGACCTATTTCATCACCACATCACCAGCCCTTTTACGTCCCCACTGCAGGGGCTCAGGCCTTCCTTATGGATGGTTAAGGAGGATGGGCCATGACCCTCCACGCTGGCCCAATGCGGATTGGAGGGGATTAACGACTGCAAATGCAGTCGGGACCAACGGCTTAACGTGCCTTCCGAAGCACGGAGTAGCTCGAGATAATAATTTTTTTGGTCACCCATCCCGTGACCGACCCTTGCGAAAGTTGCTTAACGACAACGATCGCGGGCCGCGGCGCTTATCCACTACGCCACCGAGCTACTCCGGAACCTATTTGAATATTAATATTTCTGCTGACAGTTGGTATTAATGGTGTAGTAGACAAAGTTGTATTATTCAAACGGCTTACAGATAGCCTTTAAATAATACTACTTTTGTTCTTACATTTAACACCATCATTATAAAATCATCTTGATATGCATTACACGAAATATTTTACTGGAAGCGTCCAACTACAATTTATCTCCTTTAGTTTCGTACAGAACGCATACATATATTGAAAAAATATTTCACAAGTCCTTTCACATATCAAAAATATATAAGTCATTATCTTGACAATATCAAGTCCAAATAATTGATTTGAATCTATATAAGTAAGATTCATAGATTGTTTTTTGCACGGCCGTAATAAAAATAATAAGGCACTTAATTTTCTTTTTGACATCTAGAAAGTGTTATTGCCTTAATACACTTTCTCTTAAAGACCATTTTAAATTAACGGTTAATTAAATGTGAGTCGTATCGGTTTCAGTCAAATTGACAAATTAACTCTTTAGTATCGTTTCAATATCATAACATTATACATACGTATGTATGTATAATACGTATATATGTATACGTATCTATGCAAATAGACTTTTACCCCGACCTATTATTTTAACAAGGAACTAATAATTTATTAACGAAGGTGCTTTGTTTTCCTATTTAGTACAAAACCATAATTTAAATCGGAAAATACATTGATATAGGTAGATTAAAAATCCTTAACGTTTAGAAAATATTTGTACTGAAACTTTTATTTCATCATTATAGATCACCTAATCACCAAATTCACTAAAAATCTATTAGAACGTCAATCAAAATTGTATTTAAAAGAAAGCCAATTGCTACTCGAATAAGGAAGTCTACGCGTCAATGTAAACTACTTTAATATAATATTGCGTACGCGTCGGCAGTGTGACCGTGCGAAGACCTAGATCGTATCGAAGCAATGTCGTGTATTGAGGTTGAAAAGGTATTAATAGGAACCTATTACATTATAAGTGAATAGTTAAATATATAAATTAGAATCCTAATAAATCCTCCTTGATCTAAATTCTAGGATTTAGATAAAAAAAGGCATTTAAAAAGTATTTACAATTTGAGATGCTTTTTTCACATTATGTTCTTTTGATAAAATTTTCTTTTAGAAATTTTAAATTTATGTTTAATTAGCATAATGTTACTAGACTAAAAGTACTAACTAGACTTCTTGAATCTTTATTTCTTTGGTAATTAAAATTAATATTAATTTTTAAGGCTTTATTTGATTGATTGTTTAATGCCGTATTTTTACAGAATACCAAAGCTGAGATTATTAACTTTTAAGTATTTGTAAGATATTAAAAAAGTACTTGTCTAAATATTTTGTATTCACGGAAACTACTATGGAGGTCGTAAACAATCAAAGATATACACCACGTAAATTTAAAAAAATGTGTATTTTTATAATGTATGTTTAATTTAATATAAGTTAAGTAGAGCGTTGTTACGTAAGAATTTCCGTAATTTTATATTTCCTTTTCATTTGAAATAAATTATAAACCTGACCTTCCTAGTTTAAAAAGCGAGCCTTGTAGACAATATGACAGACCGAATTGATAACCTCAATGATAATCGACAAAGAGGTTTTGCAATCCGCGCCGATTTCTCTGTTACTTAATCGTAACTAGCTTTTGAACCACGAAAGTTATGTGTGCAGTGTCATGTGTCAATATATACGTATATTTTTTGTACGAGTAGCTCGACAGCCCATTCTAAAATTTCGATAAGGATGTTATTGTTAAAAATATTGTAATTTTTAATTATTATTAAATTAACTGGACTGGTCATATATTAAAAAGTACACAGGATAAGTGAAGCAGGACTGTAACTGAGTGGTATCTTACTGACGGTAAAAGATGTAGAGGAAAAGAGCTGCAAGAAACAGATACCAATGGAGGATGCTTTAGGAGTACTAGGTCGAGAGGCTCACCGAAATCAGAAATATATTTTAATAACTTAATTATGTAAACCAAAATCAAATATTTAGAATAAACGACTAATTATTATTAAATAAAACTACTTTAAAATATATTCTTAATGAAAAATGCTTTCTTTGTCCCTGGTCCCTGAAATGGGATTCGAACCCATGACCTTTCGGAATCCGGGCGACTGCTCTAACCACTGCGCTACCCAAGACCTAACAGGACTGACGAATTTTTCAAGCACATGTTACTTTTTAGCTACTACAGAAGGATTTTTCATTTAAAATATTTTTCAGTATAGCAATGTGAATATAAAATTGTTCAAATATAATTGATCAATTATTAATTTCACGTTATACTTCAAATATTATTAGTTCACTATTATGCCTAAACAGTGTTTGTTATACGTATATTTATTAATGACAAAACAAAAGTGAGCTATGTTATATCGTGTCTTAAAATTTTATTGTATACTGTCTATTGTACCCTAATTTATTGTTCATATCGGTGGCAATTCTATTGCAAGAACTAAATTTTGTTTTAATTCTGTCAAACTATATTTTCGGTATTGTGAATAACTGAAAAGTAAAAATATAAATTAATAACTATTTATTTATTCTTCTGAATTGACATAATTTAAGTTTATAAATATAATGTGTATCTTGCCATTGAAAGAGATGACGCGTTGATGTCTTTTGCTACAGTTATCGTGGTGTTCATGCGTGCTTTGTATAAGATTTATTATTTACTCGCTTTCCGCCAGCAGCTTCGCCCACGTGGTCCCTAGGGAACTATGGATAAATCCTATTATCTAAGTCAGCCAATACCCTATCTGTATACCAAATTTCATCGAAATCCGTTCAATAATTTCGGACAAACATCCAAGCAAAAAACTTTCACATTTATAATATTATTGGATTTTTAAACTAACAACACATCTTCTTCAATGATAATATTAATGTTTTATTTATTTTTAATAGACGTTATTTATAAAACTGTTCGGCAACTAAACGACCTTGACTACTAAAATGCAGCAGACACAAAAATTGCATAATCTACTTGTATGTAAATAATAATTCTATTTTCCTTAAGTGAAGTATGTGAGTATCGAAGGATATATATAATAGGACGATTGAATATTAAGTACCTTTGGCTTTGGCTTTTCAAGGCTGAATTTATAAATCACAAGCTGTTCCCGCGACTTCGCTCGTATAGCCTACATCACTCACGTATGATGTACCTTCCCGTAAGTGAAAGAGTTTTCATGATGAGATGAGTATTTCAGAATATTACAACAAACAAACAATAAAATTTGGAAACTTTACCTCTTTACAATATTAGTATAGTGTATAGTCTCTTTTCGAAATCATAAATAATCGTAGTCATAATTTTGCTAAATAACACAAAACCATTATGATTTACCAATATAATTAGTAAAACTTGCAAAAAAGAAATATATTAAGAAAAGATCATCCTTTTTGATAAACAGTATTCTCTTTTAGGCAATAAAATGGAAAGCAACTTCATAGTCTAATAAGGATAACATTTTTCAATAGAACAAATGAAATAAACCAGGGAGGAAAGAGCAGCCTTTGGTGAGTTTCTTGTCGGTGCTTCCGTGTAAATTTTCCCGAATATTTTGCAAATCGATGGCATATTCTGATACTTTTACATGTGATTGTCTACAGCGCAAAAAAAGATTTTGAATTTTGAACGGGATTTATACTTGAATTAGTTTTTAAGTCTATTCTATTAAATATTCAACGCTATTTAGCATATATAAAATTAAATTGTGTAAAATATAACTGGTCCCATTATAAAGAAAGAGAAAATATAAGTGACATAGGTATCCGCCATCGAGGTCACACGCTTGACATTTTCGATCTATTATTATACATCAAAAGTCAACCGTTTTGCTATCGTAACGAATACTATTTACACAATATTTTAAATATTATTTATATCTTATACATCATAGATACAAAATTATTGAAAAAGTTAATAGATAAGTGAAACCTTTGAAATATTTCGCTCTGTAGTTAAATTACTATTAACCTATTATATCCACGTGTAAGTTCGCGTAGTTTAAGTGTTACTATATTATTTGATGTTTTGGAAAAGTAGTCTACGCAGAGACTTCGTGATAAATATATCACTAAAATTCATAATCAGCTTAGAGGTTTCACTAAGAAAGTGTAATAGACAGACAGATTTAATGTCGCATTTACATATGATACTATATCTATGATAATATTTAAAACATAAGAAGTGATTGCTAAGAAATTAAATATCAAAAGTAATACAAAGTTTAAGTATGTTAATGCCTAATTTATTCAAAAATAAACCTACATCGCTCACGTTTCAAAATATCTATCTAAATAACTTGTGTTACGTAAACCCAAAACAACGATGAATCCATAAACACATTTAACATAAAAAAGCTCGTTCTCTATAATTGACTCGATCGAGAATCGAATGGCAACCGATTCTAACCAAGAAGGTCGATTATAACAACTAAAACTTACCAACTAAACATAGTAGGACAACTCCCATACACGACCTGTACGCCATCTTGCGTTGTTTCAAAACACTACTTCCTTATATATTAATTATCTATCAAATGTCACTTTTGTGACTTCCTTATTATTTCAGGCTTGAATGAAGCCCGCGCCACACTCTACACAACACTGAGTACAAACAGTTTTGGTCAACCGCTCTTAGCTGCTGGGCGAACGAGCGAAAGGTTACGTTACACTCTCTGTCTCACTCAAACTTATACAACAACACATGCGTCCATACTGCTCATACAGTCTGAACTCAAATCCTGTTATTGTTCTACGTGCTCCACAAGAATATTAGAAATAGTTCGCAAGCTCGCATGATAATTCGATTTTCAATTATTTTTAATTAAACTTTAAATAGCTCGACAAACTTGTACTTTCGTTAACGTACGTAATTCGTTACATATAATTGCTCTTAAATAACATTTCTAATAAATCTATTCATAATTTAGGCTACTAATTTAGTTCTTTGTTTAGTCAGAAATGTCTTAATAGCAAGTCTAATTAAATGTTTATTAAGATGACGTCATACTTTAATTCTTTATGTTAGTCAAGAGATGGCGCTAGTGTTCTAATGGAAAATATTGATATGTATAATTCCTATATAATGGTTTAGTCCCTCAATAAATAATAAACAAATACATTCAGCAGTCGTTATGAGTTTATTTCGAATTATACCCTTAGTACTTCAATATACTGAAAAATCAGGCTTTCAAAAGCTCTTGCACAATTTTATCACGAACTCTCCGTCTAAAAGGATATATAGTTTTAGGCGTACATGTGAAACCTCTCCGAAAGCGCTTACCTATGTGCTCTTTCCGTAAATCCTTATTACTATAAGATACCTATTCATTGTTAATTTACTTGATAAATTTGGATTTCAAAACAACGGAAAGGAATATATCTCGTGCAAATTTGACAAATAAAACTGAGAATTGTCAAGAAAAATTGCGTGCAGACAGCACTTTCTGTATTAAGAGTATTCGTTAGAAAGCGAAAAGAGATTTCACTGAGACATGCCTACTGCACATATTTAAGACACGTAACACATGATAATGATGCAAATGATTTACAATATATACCTACATACTCATAATATGAGCAGTTAGACAGCGTAGTGCAGATTCGGAAGTTAAGCAACTTTCGCAAGGGCCGGTTATAGGATGGGTGACCAAAATAATGCATTCTTTTTGCATTATTGAATGTGAATGTGCCTCTGTATCGTAGGTATCTTTGCCTGCCTTAACCACTCGATGCGCGGTCGCCGTGCGTTCAACTTGGCCCCGTCTTTAGAGTTAATTACGTAATTATGAATTGAAGTTCTAGATACGCACACCTTATTTAAACATATAAACACATACACATACACACACACACACACACACACACATACATACATACATACATACACCATATTTGTCGTGCGATATAATTTATAAATATGTATATTTTTTTCTAATACTTGCATTTTCTTTGTTAACTGCCCTCATTATGATTATATAATTAATAAGATTTGTAAACATAATAAGTTTCTATAATTGGCGTCAATGCTGCATACTTGTTTTAGTATAGAAATAACAAAACTGCTGTTGAAACTTTGTTGAATGAATAAATAAATAAATAAATAAATAATTGCAACGGATGGATTCTATGGAATTACAAAGAACGCGTATTTAGTTATTGAAAATGTTCTTAAGCCAAGAGTATTCTAAAATATATTTGCATAAAGACTTTTCTGTAGGCTCGTTGGTGATAGACAAAATTTTAAAAAACTTTTTTTTCTAGAAGATAAATTTTAGCTTCGCTTTAGTACGCTATTGGCGGACCGTTTGAACAAATGCATTAGACTAGACTAGTAAAAATTTTAACGAACAACTAAAACCTCTAGTTATAATTTCATAATGGTAACAATTCTGTTGGCACAAACTAATACAAAATTTGGTTTTAGTCCTGTCAACGGGCGTTTTCAGTTTTGTGAAAAACGGGAGCTTTGATTATATTCCTATCATAAAAACAAGTAAACTATATACGTATAAGTTTTGGGCTATATTTGTTCGAGGTAGTGGTACACTTTGTCATAGTATTTATTTGATAATTTAATTAGTCTTTTCATTGTGATACAATAAAATCAGTTTAAAATCTTCTGAGAATTCTTAGATTTTTTTATGAGATTATGAACTCTTAAAATGTTATCAACAGCGCCAATTCATGGTATTATTTTTGGAGTAATTTTGACATGACATACTCGTATTAACAAAGTTAGAATAACCTCTTTAATATATTAATAAGTATAGTAATATATTTTATTCAGTAAATATTATACTTGTTAATGTGATAATTATATTTTACATTAAAGTCTATAAGGTATTGTATTGAACTATTTATTAATGAGAAAAAAACTTATTATATAATAAGAGATGGCGCGGTAGCGTAGGTAGCTTTAATTAAGGGAGACAGAGTAAATATAACTATAAGAGACTCCCACGCACTGTACACGGCTAACCAACACAGGATATGACTTTTATTTATACACACTATTAGTATGAATCATACTTATAAATAAACATATTCATTCATTTTATAAATAAACATAGGTTTATATTTTATACTATTGTTGTATTAATTTTATTTAGGTATGTAGTCGTATTTGTTTTGATAATTAAATTTTCATAAAGCATATTTTTTTTATAAAATTGAATATTTTTGTTTATTTCTATAGAACAAATCCTGTGAAATAAAATCCATCTTTAAAAATATATATTTATAGATGCTGTATATACTTTAGATAGAATTCTACCAAATTACTATTCACCTTACATACATTAATCAGTTTTTCCGTTATGTTCCTTTTCTGTTCATTGGATGAAGTATTTATAATATATTGTAATATCTCGAAGCCATTAAGAATCAATGTAATATATTTTATATGACAAGGCAATTACTCTCCTTTAAACAGAAACAGATAATTGTTTATTACTTTTGTTTCAGACGAAATGTATAAACCAAGATTCTTTGTCAACTGATAAACTTCCAATGATATGAATTTATATGCAGCAGATCTGGCATGATAAATTGTGATATTTGCAATGGAACTTCCTTGGAATATGCCGAGGGACATTATCTGCATCTTCTTGCTTGTCAGGACACAGCCGCTTCTACAAGGTGTACGAGCACACTAGTACCAACTAGTACCAACAATAATTATTTTAAGTATCACATATCTCAATTTTGATAACATCCATAACTTATTTTTGCTGTAAAAAGTAATCTATCTCTATACTTAATTTCATTAAAATCGGTTCAATGGTTTAAACATGTTAATACAACCGGCAGACAGATATATAGACATATAGTCACTTTCACATTTATATTATTTATTTTTAGTACGAAATTAACAATCTACAAAATCTACCGAATGCATTTACATTATTATTTAGCAAAAAAATCCCCCTTAAATGTAAGATAGATAGATGCCTTCTAAATTTACACTAACAGTATTGAAAGTAACTCGTGCTCAGTGCAAGAAATTACCCAAACATTAGACAAGTTGATGCTTTAAATCCCACTAGGAATTGGCAATTTGTAGTAATCTCACTTACCGTTGATAGTACTTTCACCTATTGAATTCAAAAGGACAATGATTAATAAAAGAAATACTCCACTGCAGTAGAAAAAAATAACCATTTCGTTTATAGTACAGAAGATTTTAATAAACTACTTATTTACAGTTAATCTATCTATTTAATTTATTATATCTTTAAATCTTATCTATTAATTTACAAAGTCAAATCAATTATTTAAACTTGTTCTCGTATATTCCACAATCTTTAAAAAGAATAAAACACGTAATAGTTGCTTAGGTCGAGGATCCTGCAGGACTAATAGGACTCGCAAGAAAATATTCTAACCAAGATCCAACCGGACAAGTATGATAAATGCCAGTTAAGATACAGACAGTAATTTTTAGGGCTGTTCCAAATGCACAGCCCAGACGTTTTATATTTTTTTAAATATTTACGTTATATTTATTTAAAACATAATGTCCTATTGTTCAAACATGAATTTGAATTTCTTTACTAGTCATCCTTCATTAAATGGATACAAAATTATATATCGATAAATAATAAAAACTAAATAATAATAAAAAAATCCAAGTAGCTTTTTAGCACTTATATTATGAGAACCCTAAACGAGAATCGAAAATGGGATATTAGAGCCACGGAGTAATAGTAATAGTCTAAACTCTATATGCAGAACAACAATAAAATAATTTCTAATTGAAACACTCAATTCATTCAAGAAAAAAATTAATTATTATGTAGCAAAACGTAACGGAAACAAAACGCAATAGAATATAAGCACTAACTCACTTTTTTACAATTAAGTAGTAAGTTTTAGTTGTCAGTACAATACCAAATTTTCCATTCTTCTGTAATTAATGCGTTAATCATATACACAGGCAAACTAAAATTATCAACTAAAGTTATCAACAAAAAACATCATGCTTACTTTTATTATCTCTTGTAGTATTTTTTCAAAAAGGTTTAAAAGCATTACATCTGTAATAAAATTATTATAATTACCGTAACCCGTGATTATGTATATACCATAAAAACAGGCTTCTTATTTTTTAAAATAGGCTTAAAAGCACTACATCTGTAAAAAAATATTATATATACCGTAACCCGTGATTATGTATATACCATAAAAAACAGTCCATCGTCACTGATGTAACCCCAGAAAAAAATTCTCAGCATATGTTTTTCAATATCGGAAATTGCGATTATGTTTAAAAAAACATCAATAATTTCATAAGATAATTAAAATAAATTACGTTAACTTTGACAACCCTAATACAAACGTCGAGTAGATATATCGAGATGTACTATATATATATTATATATATGTGTTTAGCATATTTATATAGAAGATAGTAGTAAATATTTCGCTGTTACTTAATCATGACATGTTATGATAATAAATTCTTTGGTTTTAAAAATTCAGCCCTCACTGACTTCTAAGCGATTCATAAGAGTCACACCTACCCAATTTTTTCTCTAAATGTTCAACAATGCACCATTGTAAAAATATATCAAACTAATAATTATACTGAAAAGTAAAAGCAAATAGTTACAGCACTTAACGTTGAAAATATATTTCAAATTCTACTCGAAATTATTGTAATTTTTACGACGTAAAATTGCCGTAACATTGACGAAAGCAAAATATTACAACACACACACGCATGAACAATTATTAAGATATAACAACAAATAAGGTCGAAACAGCCATATTTTTACTTTTATTTCCAGTAATAAAACTTTTTATTTACCTGCTTCTAGAGCATATCCTTTTAGGCTTTCCTTTAACATCCTCGCTAACTAGAACCTGCCTACGTAGGTATAGGATACTCGTTTCCTACATGGAGGCTATATAAGCTAGCCTTTAGGTCCAACCCTGACATTGCCCTAAGAGTACCCTTTCGAGAGCACGAAGGATTCATCTATAATGAAGTTCGTCGTGTTGGTTTTGCTTTTCGCTGTACGCGGACATGCTGATAATTCAACGGGTAGTCTAAATCGTCAGAAGAAGGCTATATTATGTGAGTTTTGTAATTACTTAAAAGTGTAGTCATTTTCGTTTCTGTATGATGAAATATTTTTTATTTTTCCTTTACGCCACTCATTGGATATCATTTTTAACGAACTTTGTACATTTACTCGAAAAAGATTTTCATAGCAATATGCATTATTACTTAATGTTTGGAAATTAAGTAATTAATCAATCTCAAATACGACAGTACAAAAGCAATCTGTGTTTAATCAAGTTGTGAATTAATAAAACTTTTTTCAATGTTCTTTTTTTAAATTGAGATGAGTGTACTGAAATTAAAAACAAATGTGAGGTTTAAAGAAAGCAAAGAGGTTGCTTATATCGATATGTGTAATACTCAGTAAATCCTCAGGTAACAAAATTAAAAAATAATGCTAACGCGCGGTCAGTGCTCTCTCAAATGCCTGCAGAAGGATTTATACACGACGCAAGTTACGGCTATGCCGATGAATAATGCAAGCTCTAGCCTCTTCTGAACTTCACCGTTATTTTAATTCTCTTTACATTTTGAATACTTCTCTAATAATTTATTATAGTCACAAACGTTGGATAATCTTCAATTAGTATCATTTCATTTAAAAAAAAATGTATTAGAAGATTTTGTGCGTCTATATAAAATTTACAGAAATTATTTCATCCAAAACCAGTAAAATATTTGTATAAATTGCCATTTAAGGGGGAAGTGTTGAAATACTTTGTTATATACAAGTACATAGGTATATTATCATATAATGTAATTAATCAAAAAGCTCTTTAGTTGTAATTTACATGCAATAAAACTTTATTAATACAATTTAAATAATGCTTTAAATTATATAAAGATTGTATACATAATTTACGAAAATCATAAACTACACGAAATATATATTGGTAACTTTAAGCCTCAATACAAATTTATTTATTAATACGATTTGTGTTAAAATAATGGACGTTTTCGCAATAGCAGTGATCGAAATTCTAATTTAAAAATTATTTATTAAACTGTATTATCGCAAATTATCAAACTAATAAAATAACTTGATGCATGTGTTTACTATAAATCCGTCCCTGTCACGATGACCTCACAGCTCGTTATATTGCAATGAACAAGTCTTTGACCGTACTCAAATGTCACTGTAATTTGCAACTTTAAAAGCTTCTGACTTCTTCTTGTTGCATTATTGATTGAAAGAATTCTTGTAATATTATCGTATCACTGTGTTAGGGGAACATACTTTTAAAAAACAACTTTATGGACTCTTACCTCTTTACTGATTTCCACAAAGAGGCATGGCCATCTTTTAACGATTATTTTCTTTTTGTTTTTCGTTTTTTTTATTCTATTCGGGATTTTCTTTGTTATTTCTAGATAAATTATTGTATATATATTGTATATTTATTTAGAATTATTAATTCATTGTATATCCTTCATTAAAGTACCTATCGACAGAGTTTGTCAAGATTATTATTTTATTAGCATTGTGACGAGTCGTATTGTCAAAAAATAAAATGAATCTCTATATGTTTTCCGAAGCCGAGTGGTTCAGACGCCGGTTTCAGGGTGTCACCATCTCAGAGATCCTGGGTTCGATTTCCGGTCGAGTGAATACAGAAAATAAACTTTTCTATATTGTCTCGAGACTGAGTTTTGGGGCAGACGAGAGCTTTAGCTACTCGTTTTGGAATCTGAGCAATGTATATATTGTTGTCTTATAATTACTTATTTAATTTAATTTCAGTTTTCGATGAAGATGGCAACTTAATGAGGTCGTTCATTACACCATATATGCAAAGTCTTGCTCAATACGCGTTGCGTAAGCAGGACAATGAAAATTTCTTAGAATACTTTTTCAATTTTATACGTGTAAGTATTTCAATTTGTAATGTAATGTAAATATGATATATTTAAGGTATCTAATTATTGTGTATTTAAGGTAAATTATCTGTGCTTTTTTAAATTGTCCCCTTGTGTTTAATAGTGGTTAGAACCTAAACTCTTTATTTTACTAAGCATTCTATTGCAGCCTTTGATTATCAATATGTCGACAGCAGCGTTCATGATACCAGTGTCCCAAGATGTAGTGCAACAGGCTATTCGCGATCCACTATACCAGAACAAACTAACTATATCTTCAAGAGGTCCAGACTTCAATCCACTTTGTGCCGGGCGAAGAACACAGATACCCTCTCCTACTTCTTGCAGGGGTTTCTTGAGCTGTTGGGATGGATGGGCGTATGAGCTGGAATGTCCAGAAGGATTGATGTTTTCAGCTGAAGGATACTGTGATTATACAGATATGGTCAAGTGTAAAGATAGAGCATCGAGTAAGTGTTAACAATGCCAAAAAAAAAATCTACTAGTAATCAGATATTTTTAGACGACATAAGTAACATTGCTCAAATCCTAAATAAAGTAGTTTAGCTATCTTAAACAACCAAAGTACTAAAAGAGGCAGACCCGAGCAATAAAGAAACATTCATTGTCTTAATTTAAAATATAAACATTTCATAGTCTTAGAGGGGCATAACAGTAAAATTTTTAAAAGGCCGTTGCAATTCGAGTCACAATTGTAAAAAAAATAAGTCTTACAATTTACTCTTTGCGTCGAATTTTTAAAAACAACTTATAGAACTCGCCCGCCCCAACAGACATAGGTATGTGAAATTAAAAAAATCAGTAGTTGTGCAACAGAGTTGAATACAGATTTACACAATATCCTCTCGACATTTCCAGTGACGACATCGCGGCTCATCTCTTTTATTTGCACATTATTAGTTAAGCTATACCTGCTTTGAAAAGTCAATGCCCTTAAAGGAGGCCGGTAGATGGATTCAAACATTTTCAAGCTTATTAATGTCGTAATTTGAAAACATAGTTAGACTTTCAAGATTTGCAAATATTATGCGGGTTTGATAATAAAAAGAACCATACTATGCTTTAACAGGTTAAGCTCCTGTGTACTTCTCATGTCGTTAACACAACGGAGCACCAATTCAAGTTGATTTTATGTCCTAGGACAATTTTCTTAAAGAATTACACCGTCGTGATTACCAATTTGAGCCTATATTAAATGTTCCACCTTCTAAAACACAAGCGTTTCCTTTGGATAGAATTACGTAGAAAAAAAAATATAAAAGACAAAACCAAACGAAATTAAAAAAGTTCTAAATAGAAAAAATTGCAAGTCGATAGTGTATAATCAAGTGTGTATTCTGTTAAAAGAACTTAAAAGATATAGTTATGCTCCGATCTATAAAGTTTTAAGATTTTTATTGGGCACTTAAATAGCGTTATAATTAATGTTTCAATACGCTAAACAAATTTGTCTGTTTTATGTCGTTGAACGATATAGTAATTTCGTTAACTCGAACGATAGTAACCCAATTTGAATGACCCCTTGCAATTTTTGCAGGTCATGGAATAGCAATTAGGCGTTATATTTTAAAGTAGACATAGAAGGTAATTCAATCCAAATGAAATGCACCAAAGGTCGGTAAAAAAAGAATGTTCGAATATAAAAAAGGGTATTACCCTCTGTACATCACCAATACGCGCCGAATCCGAAATGCAATATTTGAAGTGTAAAGAAAAATATTCGCCTCTTGCGTCTCGGATTGATCTGCTATCAGCCTTAAGAAACTTTCAGCTCACTTTAGCTTCCAAATCGTTCTAGTAAAATTATTCTTAACTATTATATATTTCGGATAAAATATGATATTAGGTCCAAAATAAATGTACTTTAACAGAGTGTTTTTGTAGTCGTACCAGGCGCTCTAATGCCGCGATGCAATCAGGACTTCGAGACGTTCAGGAACGAGTTGAATTGCAACGAGTTCTTCGTGTGTGTCAACCATAAGCCAGTCAAGTTTAAATGCCCCTCTGATCTCGCGTACAGCCAAGTAAGTAATATTAACATCACTACATATAGTACTACTTCTACCTTCAAGACCACGCCAGGTTATACAAAACCCCCAATTTCTTCGGATTTATATTCAATCTTAATATGTTTACATGCAATTCTCAATTCATTGCAGTAATTTACTGAAAAATATATCAAACTAAAAATTTTACAATCATAATTATGTATTATAGGTTTTGATAATAAAACTTTAGTTTTAAACTAAAACTTTATATTCAAATTTTATTTGAGAAATTGCTTCTATGTAGAAAGAATATCCAAAAATAAACTGTTATTTGAAATAAATAAATCCAATTAATAGGTGTGTTTATACATTCAAAACGTAAAATTATATTACATCGCAAAATTTCTCTTAAAATTCACAATTTTTTACATTTATTGTTGTAATTATATCCTTTTGGAAAATTATGAGCATCACTTTGTAGTCGTAGGTATTTTGCAGAACTTTTACAAGTATAAGTTTTCGAGTAATTAATAAAACCATTAAAAGATGTCTTGAAACTGTTGGAATTGCCCGAATATTTTCAGAGGATCACCATCTTATTTTACAATAAAATAGTGGATATATTTTATAGTAGAGCTATGTATGAACATAGGGCTATGCATAGCCCTGCTCATAAAATTCTGATTAAATCTCGTATACCATGGTGGTGAGATAGTACGTATACAATGTACGTAACCGTGCATGGAAAAATAAAGCTTTAATTAAATTATGTATTCTGTCTTTATAATATTTATTAATTTACGTTTTTAAAACGTGTACTACAAAGATAATCTTTCATTATACTCGTTGGCCTCCATTTATTTTAGTACAATTTGATGTAATTATATTCCGCATTGCAATCGAAAATGAAAAGTTATAAATAACAAGTATAATTGTATAAGGAGCGATATTTAGAAATGGTCACTGGTAAAACCAAACATTTCAAGCGTCTTCTTACTTCGAAAGTCACTAAAATTATTGATTATTTTTCAGTTAAACATCAGTAAAAAAAGAATGACTTAACTAAGTTGTACCAACCCCATATTTGCGTGGAGCTCGATGATAAAGCGACTAAAGCACTCTGTGCGCTATTTGATAGATAGTTGGCTTATATTCGCAAAGGTCTGTCTATCGCTCTGTCTGCTAATTTACTATTAAATAACTAGATGTATTATCATCACTTTTCTGCCCCACAGAAGACATTTAAAATTCAAATCATTAATAAATTCAAATTACGAGTTAAGTTTTAATCTACACCGTCACTGTACGGTTCCTTTATGTAACATTAACAAATGAATCTTATCACGTTTCAGACTTTAGGTGTCTGCGATTACGCAAACCTAGTTGACTGCTCGAGCACTTCCACCGGCTCCATTACCGCCGCTGTTCCAGCAGCACCATCACCAACAACTGGCGCCCCCGCACAAGTACCATCGTCATCATACAAACCGATATTCGCCCAAAGACCAGTCCCGCCTGAACTAATAAACCTTCCTTCAACTTTCCCCAGTAGTATTGCCCAACAAATCAACAAAATCCCCGACTCCTCTTTCACTGATAATCGAATCAATCAGCCAATCGTACCTGTTGGTCCAGAAGATGTTAAAGCACCGGAATTCCAATTCAAACCGAAAATAACTGACGGAAACGCAATATTCATGCAGAACTCTGTTTACAACAGCCAAAGTAAGTTTTTAATGAGCAATCTCAAAGCTCTTTATTATTTAGTTCCTAGACTTTGTTTAGTTGCGTGGATTTATTATCTAGGCGCTTCAATTTAAAGGTTGTAATTTGGTCGGCACTGTGTCCATTTCTAAAGTCATTCTTATGAAAAAATATTTAGGGTTAGTAACTTCAATTTTTAAATTTAAAAAATGCTACATACGAGTATTCATTCAATAATTAATACATTTTATTACGCACTGGCTGGACAGCGTTCTTATAAGGAAGTCAAAATAGATGATATCGTAGAGCTCTATTGGACCTCTATCGTTTCGACTTTGTAAATTACCGTATATTCGTAGAACAATTCAAGCTCTTCAAAGTATAGTTTCTAATTTTAAGCAATTTATTTTATTTTACATTGCTCAAGCTATAATACCTACAGTTACTTTATAGGCAATCGGAGTCCAGTTTGAGACTAATAGGTATGATCATAATGACCTTCACAGTATTTACTAATATAATCGTATAGGTATGTATTATTTACTATATAGCCATGTAAATATACGGTATTAAAAATCACCTTTGGCAGGATTAGACGTTGCATCTACCACTTTTGTGATCCGGGGCACGTGTCATACCTTATTTCCTTGTTTGGACTCCAAACCGTATGTGTGTATTGAGCAACAGTACCTTTATGTTCACTTATCGGTGTTAAATTATTAATTAACGAGTTTCATTTCATGTGACGCTTCTTTTTTACAGATTTTGCAACTCCTGTGGCTGTTATGTCTCCACAAGACGCAGTTCGCTTTTTGAAGTTCAAAGAATTTACAGAAGGGAGTTCGCAACCATCAAATTGATTATATTACTTTAGCTTTGTAAGTTTAGTACAGTATAACGAATATGCCTGCTAATTTTTAAGTATTTTAGAATGTAACTTTTTACAAAAACATGGGGAAAATATTCTCATTTTTCAATAGATCGTATATGTACCAATATTTCATTATTGCTACTTATACTTTAATTGGTACATATTATTTTTCTTAAAATTTTATTTAACGTTTGAGAGAAGTTGCAATCATTAATTACAATAAAAGTGAAGATTGTAAATCAAAAATATTGTCTTAATTCAATTTATTAGTATTTTATTTACACAAATCCACATTAAAACTTACTGACTAGTTTAACCTAGTTTATAACATAAAAATATAATTATGTTTCGACACAGAACCAACATTGTTTCGTTGGTGCCATGTCAAATTAATATCTGTCAAGATTTTTGGCAATAGCACATTTAAAAAAAAAAGTTTTAAGACTTGCAAGTAAAGTATAATTGCATATTTGCTTGGCAATTCAGACAATACTTGTGAACTGTCGATGAGAATTGTACGCGATAAAATTACAACAACTTCAGCATAAAATTCGCAAGAGCGCCTCTTTAGACAGATCATATCAACCTACAGATACTATTATTATCTTAATCTCTTTCACATATAAGACTTTTAAAAGAGATAGATAAGCCTTCCTGATTCACATAACTACTGCTATTGCACAGAGAAAATGTACACAACCTGACACATCTTAATGTAATTCAAAAGTTAATAATTTACAAGAACTACTCTCATATTCTTAAGTTATGTAAGTCTATTGTAAATCTGTACACTGCTTAGGGCAATATTCTAAATCGAATTTTCCCGCGAAGAATAATCTTCTAACTTTTAATTAAGTAATCCATCAAATAAATAAATCAGAAATGCATTTTCCGTATCGACAGAGAGGGTGCTTTATATTAAATCAAACGGGTTGAGCTTCAGTCTGTCCTTGGAGTCGCTTCTTGACATTCAGAAGCCAAGTTTCTTCAGAGCTTTCAGGTCCACATCACCGTAGTAATCCTCGCTGGAAAGTTTTTACACAATATTCAAACGTTTGTAAAAATATTCAACCATATTGACATTACGAAAGAGTTCCAAAACTATTTTGAATATTATTTAATTAAAATTTATAATTAATTTTACAAGCAATTTTTTAATGTATTACTATTTATGATTCAATTTTAAACTTAATCAACCTTGTAACTGAGCAATTTCGCTATAATCTCATAAACTCTTCTTGTCTTAATGTCAAACAGCAAATAAAATATTGTTATGAAATTTAACATACCTGATAACCCAAGGAAAGTCAATCGGTGACACATAGTCTAGTTATTGTTGTTACAACTCAGTTTAATAAGAGAAAATTAAGTAGATAGATCGTAGAAGTACAGATTGTTATTAGAATAGAAAGTGAATGCAATAAAAAGGAAAAAGTGAAAGTAAATTAATGTTAGGGAAAATGTGCAATCGTGCAAATCTATGATACACAATAAAGACAACGATAAATTTTAATATTTTATGTTTATTTATATTACTAAAAATAAAACTTAAGTATTACAGTTTCTATCAAACAACAACACTCAGTCGCAGCGAGATAATTCAGTTCATAATATTTACAAGGTCACGGTGATCTAATGAATTAACGGCAATGCTACTACACAAAACTAAATTAAATGCAAACCTGCTTATATCTCCTTAAATTGCAATTAGGTACAAAATCTATAAAACAGATGACGGTTAAATACTTCCGATTTTGAGTGTTAAAGAACTAATGAAAATATGGTACAATGTTATAATAAATTATTCTCTATCGCTGTAGTTTTTTCTACTAATTTCCTAACCTGCCTATGAAACTGCTTTATAAAAGGCTACGAAACGTATTTGGCAACTAGAAACAAATACAACTCTCCACACTTAATTCCAATTTAAATTTGAACCTGGAACGAAATCTTTACGCACTGACAGTGGCATTTTCTTTTTTAAATTAACAACTGTCAGCGGGGTCAAAAACTGCATCTACTGACTTGTAGGCCGGGGTATACTACTATCAGTGCGAAAAAATTCTGTCATGTAGATAACGATGAGTATTAAGAGGTTAAAGGTGGGGGAAGAGTTTAATTTTCCTTTTGGGGACGGGGTTTGAGCTGCTTGGGCTGGGTGACGCGGTGAGCACCATCTTGTTGGAGACCAGCCAGGAGTTCGCTCTTGCGGATAGCCTTCAGATCCAGGTCACCATAGTAGTCCTCGCTGAAAATGTACGGGCACCTTACTGCCTGCCGCTTCTACTGATCTTAACTCTACATTTTATAGCCTAACTTGCGGACATATCAAAATTTCTAACAACTTTTATCCAGTCATTTGCTAAGTTCGAGTAAATTGTGTAATTGCATCTTGTTTATGGCGATATCGAGTGAACTGCCTTGAAATAGCAACTGGAATGATAACCGTTCGCTTTTCTAAGCAATTAAATAACATTTGTTGTATCTAGACTGCAGCGATTCGGAGCTCTATCAAAAAGCTTGGCATAATAAAACCCGTTTAGACGACCTTCATTCGACGCGATATCGGTCGCATCTCATTAAAATCTTGCGTGCGATTGTTCTATGCAGACGGACCATGAACCGGCGATAAGCTCTACGCCAGTCACTTCATTGTTTCGGATTTGACACCAGTTTCATCTGAGATGCATCTTGCTTTTGTATCATTAGACAAAGCCTATTCAATTCTCTCGCGACCACAATTATCGAATTCGTAATAACTTTTCACTGGATATTATCAGAATATTATATATCTGTTTATAATTTATCAGAATTATTTAATAAAAGTCTACCTTTACCTGACAGAATTGAAAAAAAAAATATTTAAATGCAAGACATGAAAAATCCCAAGTGATGTATAGAACAATTAGTGTCGGCACAGATTTGACAAAGAAGTAATAACGTGCGAGCTGTTCATCCGTTCCACCCGCCGGCAATGACCACGGTCGTGTCACCGTGCATATAGAAATTTGCTTTAAGTCATGTTAATTTCAATACCTGACCCAAATATGTCGTAACCGCGCAAGGCTCCGAACCGCATGCCTGCCTCAACTATTTAGGTGGGCGAGTCTATTTATACAATACTATGTATATTCCAATAGTTTGTGCTGTGGCTGAGTATTTTACACGTAAGTGCATTGTGTGGGTACATAAGTGCAGAAGTATTGTTAGTCACGGTACACTTGTTGTGCGGGAGTGATTATATACTCCATAAAATATTAAGTAGTCAATTAAATTACTGAGATACCACGAGGTTTGATTAATGAGGTGATGGAATTTAGAATATTATTGTCCCTGATAGGTATTCCAGTAATCAAAACGAAGAAGGTGTTAAATACCACATGACCTAACACACCACAGTACCAGTGGGGTTCGGAAGAATAAGTTATCATTGGAGTTGATTGATCGGTATACAATATCATAAAATATACATAAACTGAATTCTTTCTTGAACTATCGATCATTTAGGACTAGTTAAAGTCGATTAGAAAGAGTTAAGTATGTTATTTCGTACGGTCAAAAAAGTATTAAGTTTGTGACAAGACTATATATTCATATTAACTTACCATCCGGGAACATCTTCGGGATCTTCACAGTTTCCAGTGCCGTCAGAGTCTCCGATCTTGAAGACGGTTCCGATGGGGCAACCGTACTCACGGGCTACGCCTTCCAAACAGATGTAGTATTTACGGCAGTCCTCAGGGTGGGCGTGACGGCTGAAGGATCCAGCGTTGGACACCTCACCAGGTGCGGGGCAAGAGAATCCGTTTGCTACTTCTGGGGAACACCAGATAAAGATCCGTTAGATTAGTTATATATATCGTTAGAACGATGATAAAGATATGTCATTTATGAACGTTCTTTGGCACACTCAGCACAGAAAAACTGATATTTATTAAAAATTACCAAATAGAAAACTTAATTGTAAAAGTCTTAGATAAATTAATTCTACACCATAAACGGTTGCAGTCAAAAACATCTACTAGTCTGGAATAAAACCTGGACCAAAATATGCATCGGACTTACCTTCGTTCTTGCACTCTGGCACTTGGTCAGCCCACATGCATACGCGAGATTCCCTGTCGTAAGCAAGGCCGGGACTGCACTGGTAGCGGGACGCTTCACCGTTCCAGCAGTTCCAGAAGACATCACACTTGGCGTCATCAGCGAAGATTCCGTATAGCCGTGCGCAGTGGGGGGTTGAGATTGGTGGTTCTGTGTAAGAAAAAAATGCATTATAATATCTAATCAATTCAACGGACTAGGATTGATAAAAATACCTTAGAATGCTCATATTACGTTTCTCCACAATTTCCGAAACATGATTCTAAAATATCTTTCCTTAAAATTTATTCGACCTCCACAAACTAGTCAGATATACCTATATAGTTATCTACTTCGTATCAAAAAAGTAGATGACACAGCCGTAATATATCTCTGTCAAAGATAAACTTGTTTTGAACAAAAAAAGTAAAACAAATGTTATAAATAATGTGTTGAGGAAAACTGTTTGAATAACAAGCTTCAAATAGATAAGACACTTAAAGACAAATCTTTCTAAGAATAATCTCACAAAAACTCGAGATTACACTCACAAAAAGCGCTCAATGCTGTTTTCTACGAAGAGTTAAAAGTCGCTCTAGTTCAAGGTTGACTGGCGTTACAAATAACGAGTTTTTAATATGTACTTACATATGTCACTCATAATATAATTCAATCTAATCCCTTCTCTTTCGCAAATGTGAACCAGCCATAGTAACTCGAGTATAAGTATGTGACCTTCTAAACACATCCTGGTTATGCTTCGCGAATAATATTATGTAAATTCTCTAACCTTGACCGTATAATTGAATAATCCTCGCTGTTATTACTATTTTTATTTGATAGACCAATATAAAAGCGTTATTTGCATTTATATTCGATTATAAACTTAACTTTTATAATCATCTTATCTTTCGAAGTTTTAAACAGTTGAATCTATTCAGTTTTTATTTTTAAAAAAGCCTCAAGTCTCAATGATATACAGACAGACAGTAAAAAATCAAATTCCACATGAAATGATGTACTTATCTACATTACTATACAAACAATTATTAGAATTTAAGTAACTTAATTCCAAGCATTAAAAATCACACTGTCCAAACGTTCCATATTAATTATTTTTTATGGTATTATGACATATGTGATACTGAACCTTTATAATGATTTATATTTTGGTTCCATCATAGAATTTTTGAGAAAGGAGTCTTTAATAACCATTCTATTTTCAAAAAAGTGAACTCACCAAGTTGTGTCCTCTCTCCGCACTCAACATTGTGGAGGTAGTCGCAGTTCTCAGTTAGGTATTTTGAGTCTGTGGCATCGAAAGCGAGTCCATTGCCGCATGTCTTCAGTTCAGCGACACCGTTATCGCACTTCCAGTATTTGTCGCAGGAGATGTGGTGGGGGTAAAATCCGAAGTCGTCTGGGCATTTGAAGGATTCTTGGGCCACAGCTGAAAAGAAAAAAAATTGTTGAATTTATTTTCTGTAAATCTTTTTATGTAAATCTAGAAATCTGTAGCATTAACTATGTTTGCATATTATTTTAAATTCTGTTGATTCAATGTAATTATTCTTGAGAGTCTAGTAACTTTAAGATTCGTATAATCAATTAAATTAAATTAGGAGAATTTTTATAACCTATTGACTTTTTGATAGAAGAACTTTTGAAGCGATAGCTTTAAACTAGTTCAAGCATATCATTACGAAGTGTCAATTTATTGCGATGAAGAGATGAGGAAACTCAGCTCGTCCAAACACGAGCCTTCTTGAATTTTAATTGGAAATTACAAAATGTCGCGGGGGTTTGCCAAGCGCGGTTAAGGCGCGTACATTTTGCAACACACCGGTCGGGGGCAGGGCCGCTCTTTCTTCGTGGAATGTAACGACAGTGCGACAGTGAGTTTATTAAGCAACGTGGGACAAGTTGTCGCATTTCGTTGCCACATTTGTTGTGGTATTATCTTATTAGTGCAGCACGTGTTTGCCCTGTGATCTAAACAGCACGTGTCCCTTTGTTTCACTAGATTACACTGTCGCTTATTCAATTTCATGTGTTGAAAGAGTTAATTATTTAATCTCCATTAAGCTTGGAGTGAATGCACTCTCATGAAAGCATTGCATAATTCTAACGTTGTTGAAACTTTTTGTTATTAAAACGTTGTCTTTCTATTTCAATTAGATCTTTCGATGTAATATAAATTTACAGATGCGTTTAGAAAGTGTTGCAGTTAATATTCAAGTCGCACCATCGACAAAATGGCCAATAATAAAGAAGTATTTAATAAGTGGCTACGCCACCTGGCTTAGAAATGTAAGTTTTATATAGATACTTCAATGAATTTCCAGTTTAGAAAAAAACGTTAAACGTTAACGTTATCTTGTTTTACTAACAAACAGTGTCGCATAATTTTCACGAATTAAATAAGAGGTCGTATCTCGCGGGTTATGCGCCGTTATGTCACGTATAATATGCCAGTGGCACACCTGTACCGGTTGGCATTTGCAGTCAAACGAAAGGAGGCTCATCCGCAAAGTTTTGTAATGCGACTCTCTCTTCAATATTTAATGAAGGTTACTTGAAAATTGAAACTTTATTATGTTAACTAATCTACGCAAAAAAGAAAAAATGAGAAATTTAGATCTTCTAAATTCAAATATCTCTCGATAATAAATATAATATCTATCAAAGTGTTCTTAATTCATAGTAAATTAAAAAAAAGAACTAATTGGAACGTAATAATCATCACTTCCCATTAACAAGTGATAGATGACTGCTCAATCATATCAGGTCATTACAAAACTTTTAAAACGCACGTTGTGATGAAAACACACTAATTGATTTATGTAATCGCTATGAAAGAATCAATCGATTTAGGTTACACTGCTCCAATAGTCGCAATATGTATTTAATCTAGATATGAAGGCAGTATGTGTAAATTTTTAACAACTAAAGTTGCAACTAAAGTAAAACGCTACAAATAGTATGATGATGCAATGAAAAACGAGTTTTGACATCTTTTTATAGATTTGGAGCTATTCATATAAATAACTTAGAATTGAGTTCTTACTAGAGGACACACTATGTAATATTGTGAATGTGAATGGTAAATGCATATAGGGCGTGTTAAATATATATTTTAAATATATTTCAGTTACTTTTGTACCAAGAAAAAATGCACAAATAAGCTATAATTAAAAATGAGATAGCTACATATAACTACCATAAAATTTCTAGATAGAAAAAAATCACATAGTTGCCCCTAAAATTTTCAAATTAATGCAAGATGAAACAAGTAGTATTTGAGACCTTTCTTATTTTATAATGTTTGACGACAAGGTGAACCAGCTTTGCCATTGAGTGCCTCACATTCTTGATGAATAAGGTAAACTAGTCCATTTATTACTATCTCTGAGCTTATTCGAATGTGCCAATAAATGTAACCATCTAGAGATGGACCAAATACTAGTTTAATGTATTAGTTATTAATTTTACGTATAAAGCTTTTAATTATAACAATTTAATTCTTGTAGTTTAAGTTCTGCTCACTTACAAATGAATAATTAATATGAAATTAATTTGTTTTATTACTAACTTAATGAAGCTATAATAACAAGTTTTACAACTTGAATATATACACAGCAAAAAGTCGTCTGGCCATATGCCAGATCGATTAATCATTCGACAACGGATCCAGTGCCTGCATAGGATATCATAGACTTCAATATAATTATAAAGGGTGGTTAGAAGTTCTTAATTTAAAATTGTGTCTTGTGTTTATCTAATTAATTAAAAGCGTTGTTACTCATGATTCGGATCAAAGAACGTTCACGGTTCAAAATGGCTCAATAACATCAAATGAGATCATTAGTCATTACTAATCTTACGACAAAGCTAAAAATTATTGTCACCGTAAAAAGTGTGCAATAAAACTAACCTTATCGATAGTTTTCTAAGAATCAAATTCGTAAAACATCCATTCAGCTCATTATACTAACAAGTGAATAGACTAATACCTAGATTTATTTTTTTTAAATTAGTCGGTCATTCAATCCATAAATTAGCTAAGAATTACTTGACTTCACGTCCATTATTTACGCTATTCTAGTTTCAAAACGTTCTTCAATATAAATAGAGCATTTTGAATTAAACCTAGTTGAAGAAATGTCATTTTGCAAAAACAGAATCCAGAAAATGTATTAAAATGACAGGTTAAAAAATATTATTGAATATTGCTTTGATCAAAAGTAAAAACATTTACAAACATTCCAAGAACCCCAGTTCCGAGTTATCATAGAAAACTTAGACTCCACATAGGCTTTAGAGATAACACTATTAACAATGTGGTCAAACTTGTCCGTATTTTTTACGATAGTATAAATAATACCTATTACTTTTATCCTTAGGGAACGTTTAGTATGATTAAAATTAGCATAAATGTTAATTAAGGATTAGAATCACTCGTACACCTAATGTCATCAAAATTCCTTCAGTAGTTTTTTCGTGAAAGAGTAACACACATACATACTCATATGACATTCATCCTCACAAACTTTCGCATTTATAATATAAGTAGGATTTACAAACACTATTAAGCCCGTTTCAATATTCTGATAATCAACTAAACAATACTTTTGAGTCTAGTTCAATATTCAGAATATCAACTACAAAAGTCTATTGAATTTGATGTCACCTGATCTATGGCACACGGCCAGATGTTATGCAAGAAACCTGGCTATGCGTACACACGACATAGTAATCAATTGGAACCTCCTTGTCATAACATGTTATGTAACAACTTTGTTGACATAAGTATCTGATTACTGTTTGATTTAATGTTTATGCTAAGTAGGCTGTAGCTAAAGCGTTTAAATCTAATGAAATCAACTATAAGCTTACGATCTCTATTTGTGGACTACTTAGTAGCACATCCTAACTCATAGTACGTAAATTAGTTAATCTCCGAAACTTTCAAATATCATGAAATTAAAAGCCACTTCCAGTTTTCGCTGAATTTTTCTTTTTACAGAAAAAGTATTTTTTTCGCCCAAAAATCTTAAACTATTTCAAAACATATAAAATTCCAAACGGAACTACTAAAGTGCGCACCATAACCTATATATCTAAATATTTTATTTTCTAAAAGAGTCTTACACATTTCTCAGGGGACGAGTTTTATAACAGATTCAGAACATTTCCTGTTTTAAAACCAGCTGTTTTCATAACAACCGGACCTTTTAAGATATGGCAACGTTATATTATACATCGTAATACTACAATTATTCTATTTTCCATTCTTAAATCATAACTTTCAGTACAGAGACGCCTAACAGAAATAATTATTAATTTTAGAGTACAGAGAGTTACAGAGTATTTCTAAATAGGAGTAAGTTCAAAATAACAAACATTGAAATAGAATTATTAGTAAATAAAAACAGACACACGCAATGAATGCGCTTCACAAATAAAAAAGAAACTAATATGACTTATATAAGTTATTTTTATTTGCAAATAATATTTCGGTACTTATATTATATTAGGTGTATCAAAATTATCACACATAGACTCATTATTAGGTTAACCTGTTCTAGGGTGTCGCGACTTTACTAACAGGAGTTATGATTTGACAAATAAAAAATTATAATATCAACATTACATAAACGTGAAGTAAGCATAAAAGGGTTATAATTCATTAAGTAACACGTGTGACAGCCTCAAAACCTGACCTACCAACATCGGATGCTGGTGGAACTTTCGATTTCGATGCCATCCACAGCATGTTAAGTAATCCGCCTTACTAACCTTTGAACTCATCATAATTGATTTCAATCTATTATGAATAGTATCGTTGCATAAATTTGCATCAAATGTAACTGTAACTGATGATGATAGAATATGCAATATGTTTTTATATTGCAATTTAAAACTTTTTGGTTATTTAATTTATTGAGTCTCTCTAGATTTATTAACCAACTTTAGTTTTAGATTGTATAAGACGGGTTGTATTAACGCGATAGATTTCGATAGGATGGTGAAAAACCTAACTATCGAGATCTATCGCGTAAATATCCGTCTTATACATTCTAATATAATGCAACGCGAAAGTTTAAAAGGCTTTAGTTTTAATAATCTTATGAAAGGTTTCCATTACACAAACGATAACATCCATAACAATTTAAAAACTGTGTTATCCCAAAACAAAAAAAAATACGGAGACGTGCATAGTTAAAACTGATAATCACAAAGAATAAAAGCTTTCGACCAATCATGTTGTCTTCAATTATGCCGCGATTTATCATAAAAATAAAATATTAAAACGATCTATGAATCTCATCAATAAGATAATGAAGTCAAAAACTCTACGTGAAATCTTAATTTTGGAGGACATTCGTAGAAATGAATAATAAAACACCTCTATTTTTATACTGATACATATCTAACCATCCCCAAGATGACCGTTAAATAGACGTTCATTATCGGTATAATCTTGAAGAAAGTTAAACAAAAAAAAACAAACCACACGCAACGCTGGAGGTAATCTGTTTAATTGTGATGCACAGACTGACACGAGAGTTGCTTGCTGACGTAACTTATAAAAAATATACTATTAGATAACTATTGTTAAGATCACGCTCGTCCGGTGAAAGTTCGTCAGTGTTCTCTTGATAGATATAAATAGCCTAATGAAGGTATTCGGAGATGAAAAATTGCTTTCTTTCTTCTAATTAATCTCTGAATACTTGTTACAAACAACTCTAAATCGGATTTGGTTAATACTCTAACGAAGACACGGATATTCGAACAATAGGACATACAACTTTATTCGAGTAAATATGTATATTAAACTCTATTATATAACTTACTTCTTACTAATAAATGAAGTAAACAAGGATAATAATTATAATAATTTACTCGAAGAAAATACTTAAAACCTTCAATATTCCCAGATTTCAGAGATAAGCGCCAGATAAATATCAATGTACCACTTCGAATGCGAAATGTATTAAATATAAAAATTGTAACAGCTTCAAAATTTTAAAAATTAATCTTTTAAAAAAAAGAGTAATTAAAGTAAAAACAAGATGTCAAAAATAATAACGGGCAAGCTAAAGAAATACTCTGAGTTATACCAATTTGAGTTTGCAAACTCTCTGGACATATTATGACATAACAAATTAAATAAAGCTCTATGTATTCACTACATCACTATGACAGGTGCAAACGCAACGCGTAATTCTTACGTAATAACCGATTCATTCGAAACATAAATATACACATATAAATAGTGATCTAAAATTTTAAATTTAAAATAACATGTCATATAACATATATTGTTAGATTCCTTTACCTCATTTTCAACCAAAAATATGAAAAATTTAATTATTGTATAGTCTACGTTTGTCTTATTAGAAGTTAATTAAAGAGACCTGTTTATACGATACTACGTTAAAATGTCAAAATATCCTTGAAATACCGGTATTGTATCCTTGAAATAACGTACAAATGATTTTCGCATCAGCACCATACCCAAACCACTTTCTTAAATAAAACCCTGTCTTACCGGATTTTATATTCGCTAAAAGCGACAAAAAATTTATAAATACAAGGGATCCGATATGGTCTGAAGTACCTCTCTAACCGGTAAACGATGTCTCTAAAAAATACAAAACAACACAATGTGTAGGGCCAATGAGACCTTACACAGTCACCGGCCGAAGGTCAGACAATCACTGGCGAATAGCTATAACTACACTATTGATACTATATCTCCTCTCAATAAACTTGAAACTATAAAACTATCTTCAGATTAATACAAAATTAAAATAATCTCTTTTTTTAATAATCATAAACACTCAATTAATCCGTGAATATTTGTAAAGCTTTAAAAGCTAACTTTTCTATGGGAATAATTTAGTTCATAAAATAAATAGCTTCCATTACTTATATTTCATATTTTGCTTAGAATTTGAGATTCCAGAGACTATAGAAAACTTCTCTGGACACGAGGATAAAATACATTTAAATGAAACAAAACTTCGGCAGTAATGTCACGCACGTTTGGTTCAGAATGGCAAATGTTTATTTATAACTAGAATGTCAAATGAATACTGAAAAGATTGGGCAACTTCACTTTAAAGAGTCGAATATGAAGAAAGCCTTGGTGAAACGGAAAATACACCTTTTTAACACTTTTATGTAATAGGCTAATTGAATTAGTTCTTCAATGTCAAAACGAGTTTTTATTTCAAATCGTGTTTTTTTTATTTTTTACATTACAACATCGCAATAATTGAATAACGTTACCTAGATGTTTGTTCTAAATTTGAAATATAATATTCTTAAAAATATTTTCTTCTATTGTTAAACACTTCGTCTATCATCTCGTGGGACAAAGATACGTTTATTTTATTTTCAAAAATATTGTTTCCGTTGCATTGTTTCTAAGTGTAATCGTTATTTGCAGCAGTAGCACATCCGGCAGCTGACCTCTTAAATAATTAATAAGACCTTAATATAACCTCTATACATGGAAAGTGGAAGTGAATAGAGGTTTTCTACTTTCAGTTAACATATCATATAACTTGTATAATAAATAAGCAAATAGTAAAACATATATGGATTCAATCAAAGCTATAGTAAAAATTAATATGCTTTGGAAAAATTAGCTTGTTGTTATTTTAAATAGTTATATTATCAAAGTAAAGTTTATAATTATAATATTTCACACTTAGTCTAACTATAAGTTTTTAAAATGTATTTACATTTCTCTGAAATTCGCGTCAATTTTCATATATTTACGTTTATATTGAGTTTTATGACATGGATAATACGTAGATATTTACCAAGTAATCACTATATTCAAAAGACAACGTGAGTCCCTTAATCTAAATACCAATCATAGTGGATAATCAATATTAAGTATCACTATAAAGCTTAAAGAGAGATTCCAATCATTCTGTGTTCTCTGATAAGTTCGAATACGTAACATGTGTACGAAGAAAAAGTAGTATTTTATAGTCATTTATTTTTTTTTAAGTTTATACTATTTATTTCGTGAATATTCAAAAAGAAAAGCGTTTTTTTTTTCAAGAATAACTGAAATATTTAAACGTTGTTGACACTTTTGTATTTTCAGGTTTAAGACATGTAAAAATAGGTTTATGTCGTTAAATTAAAAATGTTTCTGTTATTATGCCATTTTTTTTTCGCCTGTTTTACGCCTGTTTTACATATTCGATTTAATTCCAATAGATAATCTTACATTTTTATATTAACCCGTGAAACTATATGTTGTAATTAGACCTAATTACCGGCTGACATCTGCCATCTGAATTATTCGAATTGAACTCATTTATTTTAAGAAACATCTATTTTACTAACAAACCAAACAAACTATATTCGTTTTGATATATTAAAATTATCTGTTCGTTTTCACCGTGTCAATAAATATATAATCACGTTCAATCATCAATTCCATGCGCACTGGAGCAGAGTTATTTTCACAGAGTTTTCTCGTGAAAACTTGCACGCATCACTGGCCTATCTAATTGAATACCTACACGCTCACTTTAATAACATTATGAATATTAGATGCGTTCTTATACCAAGAACCTAATCTCTTTGACTCTACATCAATAATTAGCAATGAAAATATATATGTTTACGCAATGCCAACTTCGTGGGAACATAGGACGTGTTAGAAATTCTTAACAATAGTTTCGTATGTTAATTTACCTAACACATTTATAGATTTCTCATGTCTTTTTTATAATGTCGATTGTACATAAACTGTCGATGTTTCGAGTGCGGTCATTGAACGCTAGGTGTAGGTCACGTATCTCAATGCTGTTTTGAACTGTATACAGAATGAATATAGAAGAAAAAATATATTTGATATTATTTTTAATCAAATTAATGCTTGAAGATATATGGCCCAACACTGTCTTTAACCGGTTATTCAACGAAAGTGATATTAACACTTTAACCTACAACCCAGCTCTATGCTTGCCCCGGGGGTCATGTTACGAAAAATATGCTAATGCTCTCTATGAATGATTGTGTAATGATTACGAATCATTTGCATTGAACCACATCCCACACAACGCGAACTCTTAGTGAGTCATTTACAATGAGAGTACTATACGAAATGAGTATCAAATAGTTTTTAAATAATTATTTAGAAACAAACGTCAGCATAGGAATTTGTTATGAATAAATTGTAATTTACTCTGCGATAAAATGAAGAAATGTATATGAAAGCTTTTCATCTTAGTGAAAACATAGAATTCAATAAGAATTACAAATAATATGCTAACACAGTGATAATAATGATTGAATAAGTGAAAGGATGTATATTTCACTTTTCGTTTAATATTAAACGGTAAAAGTTTCACACAGATTTCATATATCTCACTGAGAGTACAGGAGGAGACAAAAATCGTAACAGGAAATATTATATGAAGTGCGAAACGAATATCTGTCGAACAGTCGCGGCGCGTTTCGTCACATGTGGACTGGTGTGAGAGCGCACCAAATTGTAACAGTTACCACATTTTATCGGCTGCAATTTCTCTATTCACAACACTGTGTTGCGACGTTCGTGTGGTAAAACTTAACACACTACGACTTTCATCGGAAACTGTGCGCCTAGAAAACTCCCTCGCACTAGATCGCCGCGCCCTAAATATTTGAATGGTACGTACCTACGCCGAGGGCGGCCGCGAGCACTAATAAACACCGCGTATTCATGTTTGTTATAAGTCCTGGCACGGTTGATGTGGACACTTTAACGTTCGAGCACTGACTGCGAGCGGGTGAATGGGCTCCGGCAGCTTTTATACCGGGTGGACGCGCCGACGGTGGAAAGTGGCGCCCGCGCAGGGTGTGCGCAGGGTGGAGCGATCCCGTGACGAAACTATCATTAATTGGCCTAAATTAATAAATAATTATTAATGTCATAATATTGACGCAATTACGGTATAACTGGCTTTTGGTAACGATTAGAATAGTAATACAATGGAATTTCATTTTAATTTACTTTATTAGAATATTTCATTGTAACGGCAAATTTTAATTACACGTATTCGATATTAGTAGTAATACTCGATTTAAGACTTAGTACTAGAAGTTTAGTATTTTGTAACAGTTATTTAATCGATAGGTACATAAAATAACATAAGAAAATAAACCATACCACTACATCTTTGTTAACCACTCAATTTGTACAAAAAAATTAAGTGATCTTCAGATAAATTTTTAAAGTTTAGTGATTCATATATAATACATTTCTTGGCATACATAAATGAAAATGAAATCTTAACTGCTATCAACGTAACACTTGGTCATACTTTAGACATCAACGTCATCGATGTGAGTTTTCTCATCAAGATCACAGAACTAGTATTTTTGCATTAATACAGAAATAGAGCAACATAATATGTGTTTCCACATATTCAAATGATTTGTAATAAATTATGCTATGACCTATTGCATATGTTTGCTATATAAATTTATTTTGAAATTTATCAGAAACATGATGAGTCGAGATGACTTTTTTCATCATATTTTTAATTTAAAAGAGACCATCTGAAAGTGACACAACAGAATAAAGCATAAAAAATATTCTATATTTAATAAAATGGCAATTAAAAAAGGATACTTATAAATATGTATGTAAATATATATATAAATTTAATTCAAAGATGATTAATTATATTCTTAATGAAAAATGCCGAAGGCAGTCGCCCGGATTGCGAGCGGGTAACATCTCAGAGTGCCACGGACAAAGGGGATATTTTAACCATTTTTCAGTATAGCATTGTGAATGCAAAATTCATTAAATAGAATAATTAATTATAGTAAATAACATTACATATTTTTTCCCTTAAATACGCTCGGCATTGACTAAAGTTTGAATCGTAATTCTTAGAGAAGTTTAATAAAATATCGAAGTCCCCAAAGAGCTTACACGAAGCAAAATTTGTGGTTAATAAAATAACTTGAGTGTAATTTTGTAAACTTTTATACATTTTAGTCCTTTCTAGGCTCCGTGTACACTCATTGTCTGATTTTGCTAATACGTTGGTCATCTTAAAATAATTCGAAATCTATGGCTACTACACACGGAGCCATCCTTACAATATATAATTAAGAGAATCATAACTTCAAACGAAAAACATTTAATCTTAACGATATATGTGTATATATTGAACTGACTTTCCGCCCGTGGCTTCACCAGCGTCAAAATTCGGATTCTATCTACGTACCAAATTTCATAAAAATTGATTCAGTAGTTTAGACGTGAATCTCAAACAAAGTTACTTTCACGTTTATAAAAGTAGTGTGTATTGATGAAATTACACTTTCTGAGCATTAGAAGTACAGTAACCGTCTTGATAGGAAGAAATTACTTTAGTTTACTAAAATATGAGAGCACCAATCTATCTCTTTAATACCTCTTCAGGTACAAGACGAACGCTTGAGTGTTCGACATCATTGACCAATCTAACTAATAATTATTTCAACTATTTTTATGCTTTAGAAAATATCTAGGGGTTTGAACAGAAAGTACGCATTCTTAACCCGCATGACTATACCATTCTTTTTATAACTAACTGCTAATACTAAAGTTCTATAAAACAGTCTCTGTTGTCCTAAATTGAATTCAAACCCATAATCTTCTGTAAACAGGTGACACGAGACTACCGATTTCCCTTGTTGTCCATCTGGTTGTCTGTCAAGACTCTTAATTTTTTTGGAACGCGAGATATCGAATTGAATTTAAAATTTTATACTCTACAGTCTCTTGCAGCTCTAAAAAATATAACTTTTAAATTAACGCTAATAAAGACAACCGGCTCACAAGTGAATCAAAATTGATAGGGTAGTTTCCGTTGACCTAGAATTGTGAAATGCGACAAGTAACTTATTATTTTATAGTACAAGTTTAAAGAAAATCTTAAAAAAAGGAACGATAACCTAAAGTATTATGTGAACGTGGAAAATGAACTACATGTTGTTTTGAACTTTCATAGCCATTTACATTAGGAAGATAGTTTTTTATGGGATTGCAACCATGTACCCTATTTTATTCAGTTCCCGATATTTCGGTGCTGTTACAAGTCTCATGATGCATACGTAAGTCCCGTAGAAAAAAAACTATCATTTTAATGATCGACATGTATCGCTAACCGTCGCTATCCATAGAACTCTGTATGATTACCGCGAAGTTATACTTATTTGTAAACATGGGGGGTCAATGGCCTACGGCGTCATGTACAATAGAATGCAGTATTCTGCGGTAACGATACAGATTTCTCTGGAAAGCGATATGTTATTTTTTAACTGAAGGGCCAGTGACCTACATAGCCCCAACACGATAACATTACAGACTTCTATGGACAGCGATAAATATCGATTATCGATCTTTCGATGCTTACGTAATACTTAAGGTCATTGTCCATTTTTTCACTTACTCTATAGCTTTCCGTATTACATAATTTCAAAACAAAGGTTGATTTTTTTTAAATCCTTTCTTAATAAACTAATTTATGTCTATATCGTAATAAATATTAGTGTACCACGATCAGTTCAATGGTTTGAGTATGAGTTAATAAATCAGTAAGTAGATTAAAATTGACCTGCTACATCTCTGGATTCGAAAAAGAATCTGAACTTTTTTTAAGATGAAATTCTTTAACAATACAATAAACTCTAAATCGTATAGAACTAGAACATTAACTTTTCCCGAATCTTCAATTTTACAAATCCGTCTGACCATTTCTAAATTATCGCTTGCCAACGAACAGACATTATTTTTATTATTACGTCCGATTTTTAACAGCTTTTACTGTACATCGTTACATAAAGGTCAACAGTATGTGAACAATTATGTATTTTAATAGACTCTCTTTATTTAGCGACCATATATATTTATTACTATCGATGCTTTATAATTTTATTGACTTTCTCAAAAATATCGTTAACTTATATACATTTATACGTTTACTTATACGACTACAGAAGACTACTTCTGCTTATTCTCTATTAAAAACAATGTCCAACTCGATGTCGACAGCGCAGTCAAAGCAAAGAGGCTCAATAATATAAAACCTACTACAAAAGATAATTTTATTTCGTTGAAGTTCTATGCTTTCACAGCCCTGTGCACGTCGTCTAGTTTGAGAGTGATTATTAACAAATTAGTAATCGCACAAGACAATCAATCCATCTCAAAAATTTTAGTTTGTTTGAATCAAATCGAATAGGGAGAATGGTCCGGTGGAGATTGGTGGGCGTTTGTCAATACAGATGCCTGCACCAAAGACTTAATGTGCCTTCCGAAGCACGAAAGAGCTTGAGATAGTAAATTTTTGGTCACCCATCTTATAACTCGTTGTGAAAGTTTTTTAACATCGTATCCAAGACCAAGCGCGCTAATCGAGCCCTATTATTATACATTATATTATAAATGCGAATTTTTGTGAGGATAGACGGGTTTGTTACTCTTTCCCGCTAAAACTACTGAATGGATTTGGATGTTATTTTAATATATAGATTTTCCTAAGCCTGGATTAACATATAAGCTACTTTTTTGTCCTTTTTGATATCACTGGATTAGTCATCTGGTTTGCCTCCCATGTACTACCTCTTTTTTCTTTAATGATGCGATAATGGAAAAATAAAAAGCCAATTAAACCTTTTCTTTATCACACTAAACGGTACCCGCTGGCCGAATACTAGTATTTCTACAAGTCTCTATTCCACAAACAGTTAATTTTATCTATATCGGTTAATGTTTGCCTAGAAAAGATCACGTCTAAGTATTAAACCACCGTTTATACGGATTGTAAGATTTAATGTACGTAAACTAATTTCTGTATAGTGTACGTACAACAAGGAATAAATAAAATAAATATCAAACAAACATCACATACATTGCTCAGATTCCAAGATGAGTAGCTAAAGCCCCAGTATTATAGAGTATCTGAGACAACAAAGGTACCATAACACCCAGACCAAATTCAATATAGAAAGGTTCATTTTCTATGTTGACCCGATCGGGAATCGAACCCGGAACCTCAGAGATGGCGGTGACACCTTGAAACCGACATGCGAACTACTCGGCTGCGGAGGATTCATTCACATCGCACTTTTATAATTTCAGCCTTATAATAATTGTCAAAGCAACCTAAGTACCTATCAGAAATAAGATCGTTTAGAACACCATGTTGGACGTCACGTTTATTATATTCATCTTCCTACCACTAATTCCATTTTATGTGACATCAGAGCAGTTTGTTCTCTTCTATTCTTCTCTGGAAACTGTCATCTCCGTATTCCTTTCTTTACTTTCATATCATTCCTAACGCAGTCTATTCATCTTTTCTATGGTCTGTCGAAATATTACAGATTCATACATACATGTGAAACATTATTACCTATATGAAATCGCAAGTACGTATCGCATAAGTTGGTCGCGCTACGTATTAAGATGCTTGTGATAATCTCACTGCCTCCTCACCTGCCTACAGAGAGCGAAAGTATTTCAATAATGACTCATACCTGATCGATGACCCTTACGACACCTTGAGTCTTTATGACATAGTTCTTCAAGGAAATACAAGTTAATTGGAGGCCGTTAAAATTAATATTCGCGCTGATGTATTGTGGAATGGTATGAGTACTTATCCTGGATAGCATCACGAGATTATCATAAATAGCCCATTGATTTTAAACTGCATAGAGTTTTGCGATTGTTGGGAATTGCCCAAGGATATAATAAGAATACACAAGGAATTCATTGTGTAAATCTGAAATAATTTTATATTGTA